AGTTAAAAAACAGCTATAATATAAAATATTTGTGATAAAATTTAAATTTTAAAGCAAGTTAAGTTATAATAAACAATCTGAAAATAACTGCTTTTATTTTGAATCAATCAATCAATCATACAATCAATCATACAATCAATCAAACAATCAATCAAACAATCAATCAAACAATCAATCAAACAATCAATCAATCAATCAATCAATCAATCAATCAATCAATCAATCAATCAATCAATCAATCAATCAATCAATCAATCAATCAATCAATCAATCAATCAATCAATCAATCAATCAATCAATCAATCAATCAATCAATCAATCAATCAATCAATCAATCAATCAATCAATCAATCAATCAATCAATCAATCAATCAATCAATCAATCAATCAATCAATCAATCAATCAATCAATCAATCAATCAATCAATCAATCAATCAATCAATCAATCAATCAACCAGTCAATCAACCAACCAACTAACCAACCAACCAATCAATCAACCGGTCTATCAATCTATCTATCAATCAATTAATCAATCAATCAATCAATCAATCAACTAATAAACCAGTCAATCAATCTATCAATTAATTACTCACAGATAAAATATCCATACACCCTAAACTATTATTAATACACTATTCTTACCTGATCTTAAAATAATCCCTACAAAACTCTAATTAAATAATAATCCTCTATCATAATTAAATAATAATTTTCGTAATAATTAAACGATTCTGTTATAATCAAAAAATAATTTTCTGTAATGAATACTGATCAATTAACTTATTATTGTAATATCTACCCATGAAATTATTGCCTCCTGTAAAATATATTTTAGAAAAGATAAAACTTTGTCATTGTTAGACATAATTTGACATATTGAAATTAAATGTTTAATATTCTATTTAATAGATGTTTGTTGTGAAAAAGCTGTCAAACAAACTTGGAATAAAAATATTTGTATTTAACAAATAACCCCCATAGTGCTTTTACTATGTATGCCTTGCCTTATTTTATATGCAGATATTTAGGCAACCAACAGAAAAAATTTTAAAACAAGCTACTAAAGATATGCCAAAGGTAGGAGCTGTAACAGCCTTAGCCTTAATATAGCTATGAAAATTTTGAAATAACAAAACGAAACAAATTTGTCAGAAGGTCACAACCAATATTCTGGATTTCAGACTTCCATTCCTACTCTCTTTCTTGCACAAATCCATGCACTTGATGTGATGCTTTTTGCATAGTTTTTTCACTGAGTCTATTATAATAAAAATGTATAAACTATGAATTTATAAAGTTTAGATGATGACAGCTGAACAAATTTAGATTTATCATTTATTAAAATTGAAACATAGATCATAATAAAATAAAAAAATTAATGTAACAAAACTAAATAACATCTAACAATAAGTTGAATAATTATTAAATTATTTATTATCAACTTTTGATATAATTTATTTAGAATAGTTGTTTATTTTATTAATTAGAATAGAAAAGCAATTGAATTAAAATTTAAAATTGTTATAAAATTAATTAGTGAAATTGATATTGAATTGAATTAAAAAAATATTTAATTAAAATAATATCCTCATATTTTAAATTTAATAACTAATATTGATTCAATGAATTATAAAAATGAAAAATAAAAAAATAAATAATAAATATTTTTTAATTTAATATCAAATGAAAAAATTAATTAAAAACCAAATCAAACAAAACAAAACTAATTAATAAATTAAAACAAAATTTTAAAAAACCTACCGACTAGCTGGTTATCCATAACTTAATTAAGAAAAAAAATAACTAATTCAAACAAAAAATATTTACAAATTTTTGCTGGGTAGAATGATAAAAAATTTAATTTAAATTAAAAAACCATTTTCTCTTTGTTTACATAACAACTCGACGTGATGTTGAAGAATAGATAGAAATTTTTTTTTTAATAGAAAGCCAACAAATAATGATATATTATTATTTGATTTTATTCAGGATACATATAGAATATAACAATATAGAAAGTATATACTCAATAAATGTCTACATATATATAATTCTATATATATGGTTAACTACATTAGTTAACATAAAAATATACAAAGAGTACTGGAAGAAAGATGTTGAAAAATGGTTTTGAATTGATAACGATGGCTTGATAAAAAAAATTATTAGAAGGCGAACAATATTAACAATGAAACACTTGGACACTAAAAAAGTTCGGTAAAGAGTAGACTGTTTGTTGAAGAAATGTAAGATCAAATCACTGAGATCTTCACCATGTTAATTTACAATAGTCCGCTCGCTCGTTCAACGTACATTCATACCTATAGAAATCCCTAAATTGATGAAAGCGTATTTCTCATTGGTATTTCATAAGCGTATGCACTACCTATACAATCGAGGCAGTTATAATTCTAAATGGGGCAGATTAAACCTAACAATTCATCAGTTTTGTGACACCTGCCTGTTGGACATAGCCAATCATTGACAATTACAAATCAAGTTAGACCAGTTCAAATAAAAATTTGACAATTACATAAAATGTTAAGAAACTTAACAAAGAATATATTAAATTAAACAAACAAAACAGAAACATTAGGGAGCTAAAGTCAGTGATAAACAAATATGACAAAATAATTGTTAAGTTAAATCCTCATTAACTACGTCGTCTGAATCAGAATCGCTGATGTTGCCAAAAAATGAGTCGTCACTGCTGACTTCGCCAATTTGAGAAATGTTCCCTTCACTCTCAAGCTCAAATTTACATTTTTTATTTACATGTAATCGATCTTCATTGGAGTATTCGTTATCATAACTGTCAGAGCTTGAACTGCAATCATCGCGACTATCGAAACATTTTAAAACTTTTCTCTTCAACTTTTCGTCGGCTAGTTTCTCTTCAAGATCCTCTTCTTCTTCTTTAATATCCTTTGATCCACTCCCGAGTAAACTATTAACATTTTTTGAGGCACCATTACTATTATCCTTCTTATTATTATTATCATCATCATCTTCTTTAGCAGCATCATCATCTTTTTCTTTATCGTCGTCGTCATTCTCATCATCTTCATTGTCGTCATTTAAATAATCATCTATTTCATCTAACATCGCATCTTTCTCAGTTTCAGTTAACATTTCCATATTTGTTTTAACTTGGATTGGCTTTACTTTAACATCATCCTTTGATTTTAGATTGTCGTTAACTTGAAAAAATTTTTGAGAAAAATTTTTTGCATCTGATAATGGGAATAACGCTTCGTCAACTCTTTCCCATCTCTCCGTACATTGAAACAACCAATTAACGTTGACTACGTGGATACCACGTTCAAGTGCTTTTCTAACTTTTTCTGTTCCTTCTTTGGCGGCAATAACATGCGTTGTCCTATTTCGCCCTTCTGCAAAATCCTTCTGAACAGATGCCCCAAAATTTGTAGCCATAACATAAACCCAGCTAACTTCAATTGACTGATTCAACGGCAAAATACCACTGAATAAAATGTTACAACCTTTCAACACTTTTTTCTTTTCTAGAGGAATAAGTTCTTTTAAATTTAAACCAGAACTACTTGCATCTGTTTTTGTTGCTGCATCGTAGGATTTATAAAATTCCTCGTGTATCCTGAGCAGGATTGTTTGTAAGTGTAAGAGATAGTCGTCCTCATCCTCCCATTCAACAATTTCTCTGTAGGAACACTGAACTTTATCTGAATTTTCTTTTGAATCAACGTTTGTTTTTGTGACATCTGTTTCCGAATCAACATTTTTATTACTAGCAGATTCGGACTTTGTATTAATTACAACACCATCATCCTCCGCCATGCAATCGTCATCTTTTTTTACATCCTGTACTATCTTATTAGCGTTCTTATTTGTATCAGGCACATTTGCTTCATCTTTAGGTAAAATAGGAACTTTTATAATTTTTTCTTTCCTAGAGATTGGTGCGATCTTTGATCTTCTGTTTGATGAAGACTTACTGAGTTCTGGAGGTGCGTTGATGTCTGCAGTGCCTTGGAAGAAGATGTAAGGTTTGACGCGGATCATGTTCGGTGCTGAGCCCCACACATCTTCCCGATCATCGATTATGCACACCATTGAGTCACCACATGGAAACAAGGCTCTGTTGAAAAAAATGTGACATGTCAAGAATTTCAAAGTATAAACATTAACCCAAACAAGATATAAATATCCATAACCTCACAAGCATCTCAAATATTCATAAATAAGTACATAAACCGCTACTAATAAACCACGACCCATTATCTAAAATATTCTTAAGTACATAAACCAAATAATCATAAATAACTACATGAATCCTGAACCATAACCTCACAATCACACACTATTATACTTTTCACAACAAGAACTTACTTGAGGTTGAGAGTTTTCAAACTTGCATGAAAACATTCATCTCTGGACAATATTCTGTTCTGGAAGTACTTTTTGTCAGGATCCAATAAATTAACTATTGCATGAGCGTACGGTCTGATGCCGAATGTGCAGATGTGAAGTTCGTAGTACTTTGAAATTTTATCAAGAAACTTTTTAGTGTACGGTCTGAATTTCGTGTGATACCACCAGAGCTTATTGTTGGGCCCATGATTCAATTGGAAATGATAAACATCCTGGTTGACAATAAGGTCAAAATATAATGGAATGACATTTGTTAGCACAAGCTGATAAATTCATAAATTAATAAAAATCCTTATATTGCATTTGTTTATAATTCATTTAATGAAGCAACTTGGTAAAATAGTAAATTTATAAAAAGTTTTAGTATAATTTATCTAATATAAAACATTTAAACTAAATATTTAAAGAAATGAAATATTTACTTTTAGGTTAGGAGGAATGTTATCGTTCGTGGTGTGGATAATCGTTTGATCGAGGTCAACTAGCAGAACCAAACGTCGATTTTTCAACAGCCTTCTTTCATCTACCTTTCCCAGTTCATGAGCACTCTGGACAGATCAAAAGAATTGTTTATGTTTGGTGAAACAATAACATTAGAGTTGGGTATGTACGAACATGAACAGGAATATGCCAATTATTTTAAAATAAAATATAAAAACTTCAATGAATGTTCCTTACTTTTTCTGAAACAAGCAGATCTGGAATGGTGTGTTCCATAGCAACAAATGCAGATGAGATGGTTTTCTTCCTGAAATAAAAATTATATTTTAAAAAATAAATAGCTATAAAACAAATTAAAAACAAAAAAAAGCTAAAAATTGGTGCTGTCGTTAGTTTTTTAATGGTCTGCATCTGGTAAGTTCAAACTGAGACCTTCCAAAGCCCCAATAAGATGCAATAGCATTGGCAGTGTAATGAATTAAGACATTCTCAGGACAAATTGTTTAACTGTCCGCTTCATTATCTTTGTTTAAGACTTAAGTTAATATAATAATAAACTACAATATATCAATTGTCGTTATGTTACATTTTATAATGTTCAAGACTGCTATCACAAAATTTAATATTTTATAATAATCAAAGCATAATGATGCAGGCTATGAAGGAACTATTCAAAATTTTTAATTAGTTCTAGCATTAAAATTAGTATTAAAACCAGACAACGTTCAAAACTTACTCATTCAAATCAGTTCCACAGTCAGCGCACATATTTCTCCATACTGTTTCATGTTTGCAACTTTCAACCAAAGCCAGCACATCCCTGTAGGATAAAAATTGTTTACAAATTTCAATTAAATGATAATGTTTGCCATTATATAAAATATATTTAGCTATTTATAAATATAATTAATAATAAAAATTACTACACATTTTACATAATTCAATCTATTATTGACTTTCTTTAATTTTTAAAATTAAAGGGCTATGAAGCTGATGACCATCAACAAATCACAAAAACTTAATTTGCACTAACAAGAGCTCCACACATTAAATAGCTTGAAAGATTTCAGCAACTGCTTGTGCCTCAAATAACAGTGATTAAAATTTAAAATGTATACCCACTTAATTAAAAGAATTAATATGACATAAATATTAATAAAATTTCACTTTCTCGACTATTTTCCTCTCACAATGATATCCATGGAATTAATTTTAAGGTCAGAAAATATTAAAAAATTATCTATATTGTCTATTGTGTGATAAGATTTTTCTAATTATCTGAAATTACTTAGATTTGATCACACAAGATAATCACAATTACTTTTGTATTCATTTTGGCTTAATTTCATATTTGTGGACTTGGCATTGTTTTGCACCTTATTAATGTAGTTATCAAAAAACTATATTAAACAGCTTCTCACAATCTGTGACCCTCCTTAAGTCAAGCTTTCATTAAGATTAACATTGACTAAATCTAAATAAAGTAGTTTTATAGTACAAGTACAGTACAGTAATCAAGAAAATGAAAATTCGCCCTTAAATTATATAAAATAGCAACACATGTTAATAAAAATAAAGTAATGGTATGTGTACCCGTATCGAACTGATTCATTTTCCTTTTTCAATATTTTCTCAATAGATCCTGGGAATTCACTCATTATTTTCAAAGATTTGGATGATTTAGGATTTTTATATTCACACAGAACAGCATTGCTGCTACACCGACCTCCTTCCTTAACTTTCCACTTCGTGATGCAACTCTCATCTTTATCGGTGAAGATTACCTTAAACATCGCTCGCTTTTGATTTGAAAACAAAACAAAAAATGTAAACAAACGCGGAACAAAATCTTTTATAATATCGCTTAGAACATAGATTCGTCAAAACCAACATTCATTAATCTTTGTTAAAGTGTAATTTTTTACGAATACACAGTTGTAAAAAGATTCAAAGTTAAATAGAATAATGAATAAATATTTATTAATAGTAGATTTACGATTGTAAATCAATGAGCTACAATATAGTGTTTAGGGTTGTAAATTTTATTGATAGTTATAAAATTTTAGTAAGGTACGGAAATATGCAACGTTTATCAAAGTTATTAATGTTAATCCATTGTTAATGTTATCTAGATCCACCACTACTTCCGAATTTTCTTAAGTATTCTAGGTTTGACTCAAGCTCCTCAATCACTAAAACTCCAAATCAAGAGTTTTGGTTTTCAATTGATTGATTATTTCATGGAGTTTTCATGATTTAATCGTCGTTTCCGTCACATTTGATATTTTCATCAATGTCTTTTTTACATTTTTTTTTCGATATACGTCCGTAATTGTAACAACTTTAAATATTTTCGGGGTTGGAGTTTAGCACGAAAATTAGATTTCAATACAAGTGACATTGTAAAAAATAATTTTATTAAGTGATTTATATCGAGCTCGGAAATTGTCTCTATTTCATACATGGATATAATATATATTTTTATATATCCAATATCCATGATTTCATATATGCAGTTTGTGTGTTGTTGGTTTCTCAAAACTTTGGAAGAGAGTATAAGAACTTTAATCTTATTTTCTTTATTTTAAGTAGTAACTAAGCATTAGCTATAATTATATTAAATTCGAAAAAGGATTCAGTGATTACTTGAGAATAATGAAGACGCTACAAAATTGTGAATAAATACCTAAATGGAAAAAACGACGACGAAGTTAATGCTGATTCAATATTTATTTATAATTTCTTCATTGTTGAATCATTACGTCTAAATTGGTTTTTTTTCATCAGAAACTTGTTTTAAATCTAAAAGATTAAATTAACACATTCCAACTCAACCGGGTGTAAAATTATTTCCTGCTGAAAAACGTAAAACCTAAAACTAGTAAAACAACATTCTCGTCTTTGTAGTCATTCGTCATTGTATTGTTACGGTTTCGAACTTTACGCTCGATGACTTAACGTAACATCCAAATCATATTAACAACTTTTTCTACAGATTCACATTAATAAACATTTTCTTATACGCACATTCGTTATAAAGCTGATATTTTTGCTCTACATTGGTGCTGATATGCAAGCATATACATGTTCATGTATAAATCGATACAAGTAAAAACATTTGTGTGTTATAAGACGAGGTGGCGCGTGTTTCAATAGAACGCTTGTAACGTAAAGCAATGAACGTTCATTGTTTGACTGAGTACAACAGGAAGTTTGTGAAAGTGTTCTTTTCAGAAATATTTAAAAGTTTTATTCAGTAGCTTCAAAAATAAACACAAGAGCCAGTTTAGTGTATGGTTGAATAAAATGGAGAAATAAAAATCTGCGAACGATTTATTGCAATAAAATGCAGTTAGACGCAAACGAAGTGATATTAAAGAAAGATTTCATGGCGAAGAGATCGCAGATAAGAAAATATATGTTCCTGGGTCCCAAATATCGCGGCAAATGGTTCATTCTTACACCAAACGCTTTTAAATATTACGATGGCAGCATCGAGGTGAGATTATTTTTCCTTTAATTATCTGTACGATGCATTTATGCTTTGCGGTTTCTTTTTACAAAAATTAGACAGCCAATAATGTTTAATTACCTAAGTTTAAGTGCATGAATCATGGTGATTTTTTTTAAATTGTCACAAAATTATGTATGTCAGTGACGGACTTTCGAAGAGAAACCACCCGATTGTTATAATGATGCATGCATCGTATGACTTGTTTTTTAGGACATGTTTAAACATTGCCCGATGTTAGGAATGTTATATCAATTATCAATATCAGTAACAAACAATATGTAATTGAATGAAGAACATTGAGAAAATTTTGATAAGATCTTACGGAATAGTTTTTATTTGTTAAGGTATATAATAGTCGGTTGATTTGAAAATTTTTTCATCCATTCGTTATTGTAATCTAAAAAGAAAAAAAATCATTTTTTTTAAACTTGTCGACCAATTTTTGAATATTTAACAAAATGTTTGTAAAGTTTTTTTATCGCAGACGTCGAAACGTTTCATCTATGTAGCATCTTCTCAATGAATGATACACAACAGCAATAACGCTTTAAAATATTTTCTTTAATGAACGTCTTAGACTGGACCAAAGCGCGTAAAGGGTGAGATTAGGTTGTCCTCGGTTCTTGCTGTGGAAACAGTTGATGGCGAGTTCTTGGACAACAGACCTTACGCTTTTCAGGTTGGTAGACGAGCTAGGCTGCTTATGTTGGTTTATTAGGTGACACATTAAATGAAAAATAACTTATTATTATGAAAGAATTTTTAGTTTCATTGTTTTTATTCAATTATAGCAAGTTGTTTAATATTACAACTTCTAGATCTGTTTTAGAGTACGATAAGCAGTCATTGAATTCGTATGTATGATTTTAAATTTTCAATGCGGCACCGTGATTTTTGGGGTAGTCATTTATTTAAAAAATCAACGAAATATTAAAATGTTTTATCTACCTTTATTAACCTAAATATTAATTAATTTTATTTTTATTGGATGCAGGTGGTTTACAAACAAAACGAAGTAGGCCATCTTGACGACAAGAGCATGATCTATGTTATCTCGGTCAGTGAGGATCAGAAAATTGAATGGATCCAGTCAATTTATGAAGGTAAAAAATTTCATGAAAAAAACACTTTTTTGATTGAATTTTTAAATAAATTTTTTGTTAGAAAGGTTGTCACGTTATAATTAATTATTATTTTGCAGTTTTTTTGCATTTGATAAATTGCTAAGCGAAACCGTCTACTCTAACTATCATGCACTTTTCATTTTTGAATGTGTATCAATTTGTTATATTTATTTAAAATTTTGAAAATTATTGCCAGCTTGTCACGAGGTAGGTTGTCAGTTCAGTAAACTGTTTCACAGAGGTGTGTGGTTGGGTAAATGCTACAGTTGTTGCTCCAGCATAAATCAGAGAAGTGAAGGTTGCCAACCAACCACAGTTGTCACGGCGAAAGTTATACTGGAAGGTTGAACATCTCGTGCATTTTGTTACATTTCATTCTACACATCCCAAAATTAATTGCTTTTCTTATTCGGAATATAATATGACTATGTGTCTTAGCATTTTATATATTTAAACTAATAAAATTTTATTTAATAGCTATAACTTATCCGCAACTTGAGCATGTCACAATTACATTGAACACCACGGTCGGCCATATGATAGACAGAAAATTTTGTTTGAATACAATTTTTGTAGACCAATCCATCGTAAATTTTCGATAACAATAGTGAATGAATGTGTTATTTCGGTTAGCAGAGACGTAGGTCATTGTGGTAGATCGCATCGTCCTTTGCCGGCTTTCACGGTTTCGATCTAATTGTACAAACATTTCAAAATATCAAGGTGGCATAGAAGGGAGTGCCAAGTCTATGTGGTGGCATTGATGCGAAAAGACATGTAATTCATCGACAACATCAATTCATCGTCAACATACAATTCATCATTGACATACAATTCATCATTGACTTACAATTCATTTCCAACATACAAATTATCGTCGATATTCAATTCATCTTCGACATACAATTCATCGTCGACATACAATTCATCATCGACATACAATTTACCGTTGACATACAAATCATTGACATACAATTTATCACCAACGTGTAATTCATCATCAACATACAATTCATCTCAATAATAATTTAATATATTGCTAATATCCCGTCAGACGGGCCCAATAACTCAAATTCAGGAATTATTATTCATAATGACATACACACGTAGCACGTTTAATTAAAATTTATTATTTTTCTTATAGAAAGTGGGAGATTTCATTTATAACATTTTTCGACAAAAAAACTAAACCAAATAATAACTATAAAAACAGGTCTTGTTTCTACGAGAAAGAATAAAAGCGATGGAAAAATAAATAATGTAATGGTATGTGTGCTGTGTTTTAAAAATAAATAAAATTTTGTGTTATGTTTTGTAATATTATGTTATCATGTTATGTTTTGTTATGTTATGTTATGTTAAGTTATGTTATGTTGTGTTGTGTTATGTTATGTTATAGGAAAATAATTTTGTTTATATTTTTGTTTATATTTATTTATTAAACTTATTCAATATGAAACTCCGTGGTTGATTTAAGAGCGAGACGTGTTTTTAAGCATAATAACATGATTTAAACATTTAAAATTTATAATATTTATCGTTATGCTTTATGAACTACTGTTAAAAACTTTTGCAGACAAGCGTTTTAGAAATGAAACCAAAATTAAAATTGAACATCACCGGCAGTTTGACAGACTTACCCTCGGAGGTTTCATAATTTTTGTACCAAGTTATATCTCATGCTCTTTCTCTATTTCTTACCCTTTCCCTTTCTCTCCACATATATGTACGTATGTTCTCTATTTATGTACTTAAAACATATTTTTATTTATTTTTCCAGAGTGCAAAATATTTTATAGATTTGAACTTCTAGCTAACAATTTTTGAGAGCTGCTGATTCACTGTTGTTCATTGATATTTTATAGCAATTACGCGCACTGAACTCATACTCATACTTTAACGAATTTAAATAAAAAATTTCCTCCAGCGTGTTGAGATTGACGTGCAGGGCAGGAAAACAGCAGCCACCGATGATATGATTCAAACGTTTGTCTTCTTCGTTCTTTTGTTACTATAATAAGAATATAATATTATAGGGCGATTAGGAAGTATATTAGATAGTGTCAACGATGATAAATGATAAAATTTTGATCATCTTTATTAAAATTATTTGAAACAATCATTTTTTTTATCATAGATATTTTTAATAACTTTAAAAACGCAAACAAATTCATATAAGTTTCAATAATATAAACAACGAGCCAGTAAATATTAATAAAACCAAAAATGTTATTCAATTTTTAAAAATTTCAGTTACCACCAAAATCTAATTTTTCAATAAACTGATCAGAATTTCTAGGAAGTAACAGTTTTTGAAAAGTTAATTTTCGTGGCACATTTTCGAGCATAATACCATTTCCATCATTTCAATTTGAAAGCATTTATTTTGTACTTGCAGCAGCAGTAGCAGCAGCCACGTATTAGACGATGATGTTAGCCCCGTTGAATCACTTAACAATTACAAGTTAGTTGGTAAGATACACTTCTATTTTCACATGCCTTTGAGAAGCTTGAGAGAAACATTTTAGGAAATTAAATTAAACATTTTGTAATGGTTTTTTCCTTAAGCAATATTGCCTCTGAAGATGTGATGATACGTTTATTCATTTTTTTCATGTGACCCAACCCTACGGTATATAATATATACCAAAATTATGATCGGAAATGTTATTTATAAGCATATATATACAATAAATAAAAATAAATAAATAAGAACATTTATATACACACATATAAGCATCTATACATATTTCACACACAGGTGGTACTACTACAAGCTTTCGAAGCCGAAAGCTACCGAGCTGCTGATGAATGACGGAAGGGATGGGTGCTTCTTAATCAGAGATTCGTCCAAGGGCACCATTTTCTCGTTAGCCATTCTTGCGTCCAACAGGTTCCTAATAAGGAAGACTTGTTTCTTTTATTTCTTCATAACATTCTGCTTCATAAATATATTTTAAATATTGCTGTATGATAAGCCTCGAAGAATGCTCGTTATTGTTCAATTTATACCTGATATTTTTACTAAAACTAAACGCTTCAGTCTACGATCGTTTTTCGGAATTTTTCTTATTTCTTGCTATATCTACTTTTACAATTTACGTACTTCTCTCTGGAATTCCCTTTCTTCTTTTCTAATACTTCATCACTTACATCTTTACGAGGTTCAGAGCAGCATGCAAAATTTATTGAAGAGCGCTGTTAAACATTACAAAACGACGCTAGAAAATCAATCATTTTTTGAACAATTGTTTTACTGACTAACTTAAAAGATTGACTAAATGATAGACTGACAGACTGGCTGGCTACCTTATTGACTGACAGACTGGCTGGCTACCTTATTGACTGACCGATAAACTGACTGACTGATAAACTTACTGACTGATAAACTGACTGACTGATATACTACACACACACTCACGCACACACACTCACACACCCACAATGTGCTTACATCTTTTAGACTTGGTAAAGATGTAAAACATTATCGCATCAGATTGGATACCAACCGAGGTTATTATTATTATAATTGTTGTTAATATCTTGACATAACAAATAATTTAAATTACTTTATATTCACAATTCATTCAAGTTACTCGACGTGACGTTACGATGATCTCCTAAATATATATATATATATATATATATATATATATATATATATATATATATATATATATATATATATATATGTTAATCCCACTGAGTATGAATAGGCTATATGTTCTGAATATGTTAATGCGATGGCCGTGATTAGTTTAGAAACTGTTAACGCTGGAATAAATTGTTGCCACAATTAGGATACTTCTTGTCTCCGTCGCACGCTTTCCACGCAATACCTACGCTGGTAGAATATCATATGAAAAACTCAGCAGGTACGCTCTTCCATGGATTGTTCAATTTCTGTTTGATCATGCTGGTACTTAATTGAACGTAACGCCGGTTTAGCTTATATATACTAAATAATAATTTGAACTTTCATGCAATCCCAACAAAGGTTTGCCTACCAGACTGAAATGCTATCCATTGGATGAAACCGAAATTTATTCATGTTTTTGTAAGTTTGTTTTTTGGTTACCCAAATTTACGGTTTACGAATTGTTTGTAGTAGCAAAACTTCGCAATTTACAAAAAGAAAAAATTTGTTATTAAGATAACAATGAGTTAGTTTTTTAAACAAATTTTTGCGTGTGGTTTTTGCGATAAACTGAGGAGACAACTGCAAACTATTTTTAAATGATGGCGAATATATGGCTGAATAAATTTATATTACGTTGATCGCATTGTATCAATATGAGATAAAAATAACATTAGAAAAAGTTAAATATTTTTAGTATTGATAATCACTTTTGTTAAATTTAACAGAGAAATAAGACTATTTATAGTGACAGCCGGGGTTAAATAAATTCTTTTTTAGTTCTTTTTTATATCTGTTGTTTTTTTTGCATTTATAATTTATTGCACTGCATGAAAGAAGTTTTTCCATTCAATCATATCCATTTGTGACCACTTGCTATGGAGGGGTGGGGTAGATAGAACAGTTAGAAAACATCGGAAAATTAGCGTCTTTAAAAATAAACTACTTTAATTATATAGGATCTCTTTTATGAAATTGTTAAACACAAAAGTTAAATAACTTTTATAAGCATTTGAAACTGGCTAATCATTAGGGTGAATCAACGAGGGAAAATGAAGGATGGTCTTCTCAGTTCTACTAACACGTTTTAAAACTTTCTTTTTCAAGACATCGTATCTAAACACTGCCGAATTTAGGCATAGTTTAAAAGTGGCAAATATAGTTAAGATAATTTTGTTCGTGTGAAAATATTTTAAAATATTTGTATATAATTTACAGCTTCAATCGAAATAAACAATAAAGATTTGATTATGAAGGAACAGTTAGGAGCAGGCCAGTTTGGGGTCTGTTGGGTTTATGCTCACGTTCATTGATGTTGCTGATTTATGTAATATTTGCGGATTTGTATGTAGCTAGCCAACATTGTGTTTTATGTTTTTCGTAGTTAATTTCTGTTGGTTATGACCGCGTTTGGCTGTATTATCATTACCTGCTGACTTGAAATTTACTTTCCGACAATTACGTAGAAGGTGCACAGGGCAATCTACAAACACAGCTGTGAAGTTGCCGTAAAATTTTTAAAAGAAAAATTTGACGGTAAATCGGGCGGACGATCATCAATTGAAATCATCGAAGAAGCCAAGGCCCTAATGTAAATTTTTATTACGTGTTTCGAGATGCTGCTGCCAATTCTATTTTTAGCAAAAAGCGAGAGCAAAACTATTTTGCAAAATTGATATATCAGAATTTAAATTATTTGAATTATTTTTCTTCACTGAAGGTTCATTTGAAGAAATTATTTTATCTTAACGATCCTCACATCTATCCATTGATCGATCAATCAATCGATCAATCGATTTACCGATCGATCAATCAATCATTCTAACCAATCGTTCAATCAATCGATCAATCATTCTGATAAATAAAATAATTTTAATTTTTAGGCTTCTCGATCACCCGAATCTTGTAAAAATTGTAGGAATATGTAGATCCAAGCCTATTAAAATTGTCACAGAATATCTCAAATATGGTGATTTATTATAAGTATTTTGAATAGAATAATTTAAAAAGTTAAAAACCTTTCTTCTGCTGAGTTATTTTATAGATTAATTGAAGTTTATAAATTGGGAATTATTTTAAAATATTGAAAAGGTTCACTAGTGATTTATTTGAGAAAAAACAAGTGTGCTTTGCAAAACGATTGCCCGTTCATGCTAAGAACGTGCAGAGAGTTGTGCTCAGGCATGAAGTACTTGGAGGAACATCACATCATCCACAGAGACCTCGCTGCTCGTAACTGCTTAGTTGGCGAGAAAAATGTGGTCAAAATTTGCGACTTTGGTCTTGCTAGGTGAAGTTTGCTTTGTCATGTTTGCAAAAACTTATTTTTTTTTTGCAATCCGAAATGGTTTTCTATCAATATTATAATCTGTATGTTAGTGACCAAAGTAGTTTGTGAGTTTATAAAAACATTAAATTTAAGTTAAATTTAATGATTTCAATTAATTATTCATTGAAGAGAAGTAGATGACAATAACACGTACCAAAGTAGTTCAGGTGCTTTGTTCGCAATCAGGTGGACTGCACCTGAAGGAATTATTAGAAAAATATTCTCCACAAAATCTGACGTGTGGTCCTTTGGTGAGTACGAATGTATGCTTTCTGTATAAAAAAAAACAAGCAACTAATCAGAAGAATATTAATATTAGAATATATGATTTATTATGAATGAATTTTTTTGTATAAATAACTAAAATGGTTGAGTTTATCAAAGTTGCAGCAGTGCTGTCTATCACATTCAGACATATTCACATAGGCTATGTGCTATGGGGTGTTGATGATACCTTGAGAACTAATCAAAAAAATATTTCTTCGAAACGGTAATAAATTTTCTCAGGTGTGTTGATGTGGGAAATATTTACATGCGGTGTGATGCCGTATGAACAATACAAATCAAACGGAGAATGTGCACGGGCAGTTTGCTATGAGGATCTGAGGCTACAAAAACCTGACAATTGCCCGCATGATGTCTATGAAATTTTCGAGCAATGTTGGCAAAAGGTGTGTTCTTCATAACAACTGCATAAGTCATTTTCAAACTTTTTATTGAACCGTCCTTTAATAAATTTATTTGGTTCAAGGAACCAAACGAGAGGCCAACTTTTGGCGAAGTGTTCCACATGCTGGAAAATCTTCTGCAATAAATTTTGTGAACGTTTAATTTTGTTGTATAAATTTAAATGAATGGCAGTATTACATTGAAAAATTTGAAAAGAAATAAAGTGATATTTGAGTTTGTCTTTTAAATGACATCTTGCTATTGAAGAATTAAAGTAAGCCTATATAAAGTATAAAATTCTATGTATAATTTATAGTTAGTTTTTTAACAAATTTTTTGAACACATAAATAATTTCAACGTTACAAATCTGACTTTGATGTTTAATAACAAATCCTATTATCAAAAATGTTAAACATTTAAAATGTTCGTAATAATATTTAACGCTAAAAATATTTAGTCCTTTACAATACCGTCATCGTTATTTAGAAGCTCGCCGTAACGACAGTATGAATAAATCAACCAATTGCGCTCGATTAGAGCTACTGGAATTGGAATGTTTATTAAAAGATCGCCAAGTATGATATAAATGAGATGGAACGATAGGTTTGAAAATGTTAGATGTTGCTTCTAATCTATTAATCTAAATTGTTAATATTTCAATGTATATTTGTTATTTAGTCATTTATGCATCATGATGCTAAAATTTTTTTTAGTAATATTTGGTTTAAACCAAAAAGGTTTGGGGCGATGAATGCTTGCTTCACTGTGGAATTCAGATTCCTCTTCTAAAATTGTCTCAATGACATCTCTCTGAAATAATTGTTTTTTTTGGGTATGTACCTACTTGCCACCATACTTGGAACATTTCATCGATGATATGTCCGATTCATCTATTTTGATGATTTTGTTTTTGATTTTTTTAAATTAAATTTATACTTTTCCATTTTTTATAATTGATTATCCAGTTGGTTCAATAACGAAGAACTGGATTAAGTTGGTAATCGGTTGAAATCATTCCACGAGGGTTTCTCCATTGAACCTTGGATGAAGCCAGCTGATTGTTACAAAATTAAAATCAAATACTAAAATTAAATAATATAAGTAAATTATTGATTATGAAAAAATTAATATGTTTACAAAAATTAATAGTGACGTCATTTTCAAATCGTGACCATAATTATTTGACGCCTTTTTAGAAGATAATAAATACAATCTATGTATTCTAAGCATATTCTAATGATAAAAATATAAATGATATAAATCTTTATACATGATATAAATATAATATGATCATAAATAATATAATGATAGAAATCTTTCAATAAATGAAAGATATAGTCAAAACATATGCGGTTTATATCAGAAATTAACTTTTATTTTGAATGTAGCTCGAGCTTACTACTTATTTGATCAACTTTTAAAAAATAAACATTCTCGTGTTTATAAAATTTCAAAGGTTAAAATGTAAATTAAATTATAACAATAAATATGTTTAGGTTAACATTATAAATCAATCGATATTTTATTCTTTACAACACCAAATCAAACGATCGTAAAGTTAAAAAAGTTAGCTTTTATACTATCGAATTCATTGACATTTTAATATTTATTTTTTGTATTATTATAGTTTATTTATTATTAATATTAATTGATTAAATTAAATTAAATTTTTAATATTTTTGTTTTGAGTTTGAGTCAGTATAATAGTAAAGTAACCAATGTCATGTACATGTAGTGATTGTGATGTTAGTTAAGTATAAGTTATTGATGTATGAGAGCGTATTAGGTATTATTAGCAGTTAGCTTAGCTTTTTTTTAGCTAGCAGTAGATTATGTAAAGGTAAACTTTACCTGGTAAAATTAAAGTAGAATTAGTAGTAAGTAGGTAGTTGAAGTTGTTAAGCTAAATAAGTTAGTGTTAAAGAGGTTATAATTATTTGATGTTGATATATTATTCTATATAATATAGTATATATAATATATATAGAATAATATATAACAATTATAACCTCTTTAACACTAACTTATATATATTATATATATATATTATATATATATATAAGATAATTAAATTAAAATAAAACTCATGTTTTGTTTGATGTTGATCTGATCCATTATTAAACCATTACTGATACTATCTTGAGAATGTTTTTAATTTACAGTATGCATTCATAAACAAGTAATTTGCAATTCTGTTTATTTTTCAGCTATGAAGAATTGGAGGGATGCAGCCTGTCTTCTTTTTGCACTGAAATCTGCACCATCACATTCAGCCAAACCTACCTTTGCAGAAAATTTTAAAGTGTTAATGCTAAGAAGAAATGCTAAAAGTTCATTCATGCCATCAAAACTAGTTTTTCCTGGCGGTGTTATTAGTGAAGCTGATTATTCATCCAACTGGGAAGCATTATACACTGGTGGTTTTGGTTTAAAAATGCTAGATTTATTGAATGACTTGGGATTGTCTACCACCAATACTTATCCATTAATAAAAGACAACACTCATTGGAAAATGCATCCCCATATTGCATTCAGAATTTGTGCAATTAGAGAAACATTTGAAGAATCTGGTCTGTTGTTGGCTATTAAAAATGACAAAAACATAAGGTCTGTTGACAGAAAGTTGTGCGAAAATGTAAAAGACCATTTGTTTTTTGATAACATTTCAAATATGACTGTTTGGCGAAAAAAAATTCATAACAATCCATCTGAATTTTACAATATGTGTAAGTCATATAACATCACACCAAACATTTGGGCATTACATGAATGGAGCAATTGGCTCACTCCTGTTTTTAAAAGAAAAAGTAAACAGACAGCAAGATTTGATACAATTTTTTACATTTGTTGTTTGGAGGGCAATGATCTGCCTGAGGCTGCACCAGATGACAAAGAAATTAACAAAGCCCATGTAATTATTCTTTTTAATACAGTACAATTTTTGCAATATTTTCTTAAAATTTATTTGCCAAATTTACTATTTAATAAATCTTGATTTAAACATTTTTAGTGGTTGTCGCCTTCTGAATTTTTAGATTTAAACTTACTTGAAACAGAAGAAAAATCACTTATGGCTCCACCTCAAATTTATGAACTATGCAAAATGAAAGGATTTAAACATTTTGATGCGCTAAAAAATGCTTCTACTGCAAATAATCCACTTAATAGTAAAGAACGACTGATGCCTGTCTTTTCTAGATGTAAAGGTGGATACAATTTGATCCTACCAGGTTTCCACCCAATTCATTTGCATCTATATATTTTTATAATTTTTTAAAATTAATTTTATAGGTGATTACATGTACCCAGATAACATAGATGGCAACACTGTAGTGTTTGATGATGAAAGCATGGCCGAATGTCCACTTGAAAAAGATTTCAATTCAATTGATTATGATAAACCATTGCATAGGATTGTTTATAAAGATGAAAGATTGCATGATGGATTGATCATTAAAAATTTAAAAAATCGTAAATAATCTACTTATTTTATTATGATTGCACTCCCATTTGCTGACTTTATTTTTTAACAGATGCAAAATAATTTTTGTTCAGGTCATGTCAGTAAAAAATTGTGATAGACTACAAATTGATGAATAAAAATTGAGTTTAACATTAAAATACAAATTTCTCTCTGCTTTGTTTTTCTATTTTATGAATACATACATTATTATTTATACGCTCAACTAAATAGCTATTTTTGGCTGTTATTAACACAAAAACATTTTTCATTTATCATTCTATAAATAGCTCTAACTTTTTAAAGATTTTTGAGTAGTTGAAACTGTTCTTGCATTTATTACCAAATATTTGAGAAAAGAGAAGAAAAATAAATTTTACAAAAGCTCATTAAGACGTCTCGTCTACGTCACCATCTTGCAACAAATTGTCTTGAAGTAGTATTTAGAATAGAAATAGGCAAAACAAAAGGTTTACTGTCATTGGTGTTACACGTACAGACTAAAATCAATTCTTTTAGAACTCTGAAATTCTTTACTGTCTACTGTGGTCTTTCTAACAAAAACTCCATCCTTGAAGTAACCCTCGTCCTGCCATTTCAGCATTTGTTCACTGCTGTATGGGCCGTAACATTCTGCTTCATCCTTGTTCTCCCATTTGAACTCCCAACTGATCTGCTCATCATTTGGTGAACTTTTTGGTGCACTTTCATCGGGAGCAAATATATCAAAATCAGCATTGATAGCAGTATTTATTTTTGCAGTAGACTGTTCTAAAGATTTTAGTTTTACATCAAGTTTTTCATAAGTGGCCTGGTATATTGTTGTGAAGCCATTTGAAAGTAATTTATCAGCACAGCTTATAAGTTCTAACAATTGTTTTTTAGCTGTTTCTACTTCTAAGTTCTCCGTATTTTCATCTGCTTTAAATTTTTTGTTTTTCCATTTTCGATTGCTACTGTTGGATCCTGAAGTTTTTCCCAATCTTTTAATGGCATTAGTAACATTTTCTTTAGGCGACATAAATGTAATAATTTGTCTCAGCAATTGGTGTTCATTTATTTCTTCTTCAGGTTCTTCAAGCTCTTCTTTCTTTTTCTTCAAATTTAAAGTTTTTTCCAAAGTTTTCACTTCAGACCAATTGACATCTTCAATCCAGGAATCACGTATTTCATCCTAAGGATATTAAATTTTAAAAAATTTTAAATTTAAATAAAGGTTATTCCTTGGTTATGGTGTACAAATTAATAAAAAAAATTCTGACATGAAAATTAAATAATGAAAAGTATTTCATAAAAATTTATACAACAAAGTTAAATATCCTTAATATCATACAAATGATGAGGCATATTTGGTTGTTGTTTAAAAATAGAAAAAAATACAGACTCATACCTTGGATTTTTTGAAGATGTACATGCCAGACCCATCAAAATGTCCTTCTTCGAGTTCGTCCTTCATATGAAATGGAGTAAACCTCGTTCCATCTTCTATGTCCACATTTCCTTCTTCTTCTCCTTTAATGATGTTTATTTTTTTAAATAATTTGAAAAAAAATTTTTGCATAAGCTCATTAAAACACATTGTCTATACTACTGTCTTGCAACAATTTGTTCAAATAATATCTATGAAATATTTAGATCAGAAATGAATATCTATTTTTAACTAAATATCATTAATGACAAATCATTTAATTTAATCGAATGCTATGACATTATGAATTAAAAACCTTGAATTTCATCTTCATTCATGTATGTAGGCACATCCTCATCATCTTCTTCATCACTATCCAGTGTGTGCTTTTTCTTACCAGATAAACGGGTTGCCATTTTTGGTTAAACTGTAAAAGTAAAAATTACTATGAATGATATTTTAATGAAAATAATGTTGCATTAAGTCCATTAAGTTGAGTTAGCCCCAAAAAAGATGAAAGTTTATTAAATATTAGCAGTCACATTTTTTATATTATAACATATAACCTGTTTAATTTAATAATGTCCTTAGGTAAAATGAAAATCAAGTATTATTATTATTGATAATATTATATTATATTATAATATTATATTATAGTCAACTAGTCAAAAAAGTATTTTTATTCTATGATTTGTTTCATTTCTAAACTAATGTTAGAGTTATTCATAAACATAGAAGCTTAATCTTAATCATATTTAAATTATGACTAGGTTTGAATTTGTTGCATTTTTTGTGGTTATTATTAATATTAATTCATAACATCATTGATAACACACATTACATTTAGTTTGTTCTGTTCTGGTAGGTAGTATGTAGGAGTAGCCAGTAACAGTAGACTAAAAAAACTAAGTGTTTGTAAACTGTAAAAATGTAAAGTAAGCTAAACAGTAAAATTGTGAGTTAATGAAAATATAATTAACCATTAAATAAGCAACATTATTATTATTATTAATAATTATAAAAATAAAATAAAATAACTTACAATTAAATTTAAATCACAAAATTTTCCGTTTGACAAGCAAGTCACAAGAGAAGTTGGTTGATTGGGAAACAAGCAAAATATATTTAATAAATATTTATTAAAATTAAATATATAATAAAATATATATACGCAAATCAATTGAATTAAAATTTAAAATAAAAAATCCTGCCCTCCGCCAGATTGAGGCAGCACGAAACTACGGGAATTTCAAAAAAATAAACTTATTACTAAATCAAATTTAACTTTTGCAAATAAATTGTATACGCTCATATGAAACATACAACGCTCGGTGACCGTGATAGATAATCTACTTTTATGAGATTTTATATGAAAACAAACGCACAAAACAAACGATAATACAATGGTTTAACGCTTACACCATTTAGACAAACTATTTTGAATTATTATATGACACATACATATATATAGAATATAACAAATATTATATATAAGTATTTTTTTTTCGATTTTCTACCTAAAACGGTTCTTTTTCTGAATTTTAATAAAAAACTGCTCACAACGTGGAGGGGGAACCATGGAATTATATAACTATATATATTTATAATATATAATTATATTATATAATTATATATAACTCAATGGAGGGCACTGCCACTTATATTTAATTACCCTCGCCACTGGGCGGTAATTAAATATAAGATGCTAAGATTAGGCCAAAGATAAGTTCAGCCGATTTGTTTTGGGCCGACCGCGTTTGAGAGACAGTAAGATGCGCATTAAAATAATGATTAAGGTAGGCAAGTTCTTTCCAAAACCTTACCGTTAAATTTTTAAAAGTTTGAGTATTTCGATATTTCCATAATTTCTAAAGCTGCCCACTATTCTTCGTGTCAGATTGATTGAAAACCTTTTTTAAAATCTATTAAAAAAATGGCTGACTGTTCGCTGCTTTTGCATCTTTCAATATTCTTATCTGAATTTGCTGGATTGTATTTGATTTTTATGAAACCTGATTGCTATTTATTAATCAAACGTAGTCCAACACTTTCCAGTCATTCTTCTAAGACGGTCAGTGATTTTAAACGCGGAGGAATCTTATTAGTAGGTGATTGTTGCAATCTTTCAGGTCGGTTTATTTATTTGTAAAAAAATCAAGACTGATTTGAATCTTTCTAACAGGAATGATCAAATTAACATGGACTGTCCTAACGCGCAGACCTTTTGAAACTCATTGACTGAACACTCTGATAATACTCCATTGATATGAATACAACCGTATCTATTGCATTGACAAATTCAACAATATTTTTTGGAAAGATAGAAAAAAAATTAAGTGGCCTCATAGTCAACATTAACAGAAATCAATTTTGCATTGTATAAAAATGAGTAAAAGTTCTGAAGAAAAAAAATATAACGAAAAGCAATTGTCAAAGATAACTAATGAACATGCATATATAAAAGAGAAGTCAAAATAATTCAGGAATCATAATGACATAAAATTGTAGAAAAAAACAACAAAAGTTGCACTGGTAGAATATATATATCCTTTTGACAACATCGTATTTAAGTCGATTTAATTATTTTTGGTTTGTGTTATTCTTTAACAAAATGCAGTTTGGTTTTTGGTAAAAGAACAATCTTTAACGGCTTGCGTCAAATCTTTAAGTCAAGTCAGAGATCAAATTATTCCTGTATATTTATAATTTCTCCTTTAAAAAAATACAAAAATTTTAGACTAAATAACATCATGATTTTAGAAAGTTACTCTCCATTTTATACAGCATAATGTCTCACTCAATACATGATAACACATTAACATTTTTTGTTGGCGAATTCCTTACATCATTCTTATCTTTGGTCAATTAAAATAATAGAATTACAACAGCTGGTTACCTTCACCTGAAAAAATACATCAAAAAATTTATTATTATTATTAAGAAAAAATGTATATATGTCTATATATATAATTTGTTATTACTGTTAAGGAAAATGTATATTGCACCTAATACAATTCTTACAGACGCTCATATATAACAAAACAAACAATTACTTATATATACCGTGTTACCTCGAATATAAGACAGGGTCTTATATTAATTTTTTCCCAAAAATTGCCCTAGGTCTTATATTCGAGGGAGGGCTTATATTATTATGCCAATTTTTTCGACATCATTTATTTTTCCCAAATACAATAATATTTTATTCAAATACAATAAGATCATCATCTTCTGGGATATCATCATTTTCTTCCAGATCAAGACCTTGAATTCCAGCCAAGATTTCATTTGACTCCAGCTCCTTCAGTATCATAGGTCCCAATCTATCGTGTTTTGCGATGTAGCTCGCTTCAAATGGCGATGTTTTGTCCAAGTACCCTGCTTTCAGAGCCTTTGCAACACAGCTATCAGTGACTTTGCCCCATGCATTCCTTACCCAAGAGACTACCTCCTGCAGATTAGGCTTCACGAAGTTGTTATTTTTGTTCCTTGACATCGTATTCTCAATATAATCATTGATTTCAAGTCTGAGGTAATCCTTGAAAGGCTTGTTTATTGCAATGTCCAAGGTCTGGAGGTAAGCAGTCATCCCTGCTGGGATCATAACCTGATCAACCCTTCTTTCTGCCAAGAAGATTTTCATATCCTTTGCACGATGAGTGCTTGCAGAGTCCCAAATGAGGAGACCTCGTTGACTTCCTCTTAAAACAAGTTGCAGCATAAGGTCCACCAATTTTCTTATTACATTCTGCGTACTCCATGCCTTTTCTGATTCCAAGACATAAACTCCTCCCTGGCATTCAATCTTTTCTTTCTTTCCTTTGGTAATAAGAAGTGGAGCAGCTTTCTTCCCATCCAGACGAATTGCCAAAATGCAGGTGACGCGTGCACTTTCATATCCAGTTGATGGTACATAAATAGATGAAGCTCCTCTGAAGTCGACTGTCTTTTGAGTGTCCTGACCCATGTAAACAGCAGTCTCATCCATAGCAATCATGTTGGAAAGCTGATACTTTGAAAAATCCAAACCATCCATGAAAGACTTGAACATGAGAGCTCTCTTGACAGCTTCTTTATCCTCAAGCTTGAACAGTGTTGTTGATCTTCGTAGTGAGAGTTCATACCGCTGAAGGAAGCGATCCAGCCAACATTTTGAAGCTTTGAACTCCTCAGGAGGGATGTCAAGTGTAGGAGCCATCTCGAGAGCAAAAGCTTGAATCTCAGCTCTGCGCACAACCATACGGTTTTCTCTCTTCTCAGCAATCCAGTCAAAGATGATGTCTTCTAACTCTGGAAAGAATGGACGATTTCCAGAGCCACATTTTCTTTTTTTTGCCTGCCCATCTTCAACCTTTTGATTGAGATCATCATACTGTGCTCGCCATTTCCTAACCATTCGTACGTCCAACTTCTTCTCTTTGCAAAATGCAGTAATATTTTGATCTCTGCATTCCTCCACAATTCCTTTTTTGTATTCGACAGAGTAACTTTTCCTCTTGCCACTCATCTTAAATATGGGCAAAATGTTACAAAATAGTTTATTTAAATAGAAAAAACAACCCTTACTTTGACAGCTTTGTAACCTCAGGATATGCTTGAAAGAGGAAAAACAGTTCGAAAAACGAAAAATCCTCGAAAAACGAAAAATCTTGCAGCAGTTGACGTTTCCGGTGTGGTTTTGACAGAAGTTTTTGTTGTTGTCAGCTGATTCATACTAGAAATTATAATCGAGGGAGGGCTTATATTCGAGGGAGGGCTTATATTAGAAAAATAGACAAAAAACGTGCTAGGTCTTATATTTGAGGGATGTCTTATATATGAGGAAACACGGTATATATATATGTATATATGTATATATATATAAATATATGGTACAATTGTGGCCAAATGCTCATATATATATATATATATATATATATATATATATATACTCTGTCTCTACAGCGTTAATTGTTTGTTTAATGTGAATACTTAATGGTCATTTAATTAGTTATTACGATCTTCAACTTTGTCCAATATGACACTTTTACGTGTCATCATTATCGATGATTCCTCTGTTTCTAAATATATTAGTGGGAAGGATTCCAGTTGCACGTTGTTGAATATTTATTATTGGATGTCTTTGTTCGACGAGTATTCACTCGGCTAGTTGTAAATTATAATGGTTGTTATTGTAACGTAAGATTTCAACATTGTTGATACACGGTGCACGTACAAACTGGCGCTATAAAAAATCATATGAAAGAGAAACAAAAAACTAAAATTACTGGGCAAATCTTGAACAACAATGTTGATATCTTACATTACAGTAACAATCATTATAATTTATTACTAGCCAATTAAATACTCATAGAACAAAGACATTCGATAATTTTATATTCAACAACGTGCAAATGGAATCCTTCCCACTAATATATTTAGAAACAGAGATAATGATGATACTTAATAGTGTGATATTGCAAAGTTTATTAAAAGTTTTTCACTCGGCGTTACTGGATGTGTGACCAAACTATCAACACAATAAAAAAAAACTGGCATATATAATACACATTACATTAACTTTTGGGATATCCTCAATGAAATTTTGGGTAGTTGAACATAAGTTATGTTTTCTCAATCTACAGCATATCCTCTTGCTTCTTTTAAATTAATTTGTAAAGGCTCACATAAGCAAAATGCTTACACGAAAAATAAGAAAAGGTAATGTTTTTTTAATTCGCAACATATTACATTGAAAAATGAGATCAAAAATTAAATTAGAGCTAAATTCATAGCAGCAGATCCTAAAAGTTTTGCGGCATAATCAGTGAATGTTCTTTTGCAACATCAGTTTTGTATATCCAACTCAAAATAATAACTTATGGGTCAATTACATTGAAAAAAAACAAATAATTACCAGCATCCAGAGAAGATTTTTGTTGAGTTGTACCACTAGTGCCAACAGGATCTTTCAGATCTACTTGATCATCTTTTGCAATTTCTTCGACACATTTGGTTTCCTTTTTCACTCGGCTTGGTCTCTTCATGTGGTATCTTATTTCTCCATGTGGATCGGTCACATCACAGAGAGCCAAGAAGACGATATGTGTATCCTCTGGCATGTTAAGAAGACAATACTTCCCAACCAATTGATTAAATTTTTCATTTGCATGGTCTAAGTTATTTTCTATTTTCTGCCTTAAAACATTATTTTTTTCTTCTAAATTAGAAATAGATTTTACAGGTTCATTTTGAACTTTGTCCTCAGTCTTGATATTAGTTAGCTTACCATTTATTTTATTATCTTCATTATTGTTTGATTTGTCTTCACTAGCTGCTCTTTGCATCAACTGTTCATATCTTTCAATGTCTTTGTTGTCCAGCAAACAAACCAGTCTTTTTATCTCAAAAACATTCTTTGCTCTGAAAAATTTTTAATTGATAATAATTGAAAATAATAATAATAATTGATAATATTTTTAAATTATAGCAATAAATTTTCACATGAAGAATGTTAAAAATGAGAAACGGCAAACATCTAAGCGGCCGTAAACAGCAGTAATTACAAAATATGAATAGAAGCGAAAATAAATGTATTATCATGTAAGGTAGCAAGAATTACTTAGTGGTCTAATGTAAAGAAATTCATGAACAAACATGCATACTGAGATCAAATGTATTGCTGGAAAAAAACATCAGGACAGCAGGCGCTTAAAAGTGCCTAGTCCTGGTCTCTCAAGTGTGATTCGTGTACGCTAGTGATTTGTTAGCATTTCTATAACTGATGCACTACAGTCATTTGTAGTCTTTAAAATTTAATGTTTATCAGAAGCAGAAAATGTTATGTCCATAACTTGATATTTAGTAATTAATTAATTCCTTGTTGTTTAATGGCTAATTATATCATAATAAACGGTTAATAATTATTGCGATTTACATAAAAAAGACCCAGATGAAAATGCTGCCAATATTTGTGAGCACTTATCACCACTAAATTTATATTTAAAATGTGGATTATTTATCTGCTGCTAGTTTCAATTGTTCAAGTGAATAAATAATTTGTTAACAACATTTCGTTTGTCAGCCATATAACAAATTCAAAGTTTTTGAAACCCACAAAAACCTAGCTCAAAAAGTTAGTTATTATTGTTTATTTTAATTTTTACATTTAAATTCTTTTTATTTAGTGCCAGAGTCTAAATTTCCTTTTCTATTATTATGAACAAAAAATTTGAAATATAAAAAGCTAAAAATAGTTTTTCAGTTTCTACACTCAGTTTCTAAATTGGTCAGATTCAAATTATTGAACAATATCCAAAAAAGCTTAAAATCAATTCAGTGCATACAGTTTCTATGTTATTTCTCAACATGAGTGAAGGACAAAACAATTTAATATACGAACTGCAGTGCTTGGCTGATATCAAGAAGGAGATAGAGCATGTGTTGTGACGTGAATCTTTCAAGGTTATACTTCCATAGAAAAACCTTACTGGCATCAGCATCAAACAAATCTTTTGCTCTCTTTACAAGAACTTCAAATTTTGATGGAACCAAATGCTCTGCGTTCTCAACAAAGCATATAACGTGATCTGTTATATAAAAAATTTGTTAGATTTTCGTTATATAGAAGTTCGTTATAAGTAAGTTTGACTGTAATTAAAAAGAATAAAACAAAAAATTTCAAGCTCACTATCATCATGACTGCTGGTTTTCAATTTTTTAGCATTTGAAACATTTTCATCATTCTTATCATTGCAAACGTTTAATCTTTTTTTGGGTAACGATGCTTTTGAGTTTTTTTCAACATTTAATTTTTCTTGCTTCGCTAAAAAAAACGATAGATCATAAAAACTTGATGCTAAAAAATAAATCATTGGCAAACTGGTACTTAAAAAAAAATGTTACATGTTAGATGACCAGAATCTTGAGTTTCACAGACTGGAAGTGTTTCCTTATTGGCTTTACCAATTTTCTTATCATTTGCATCTTCATTTCCACTGGCGTCAGATGAGTCAGATGAATCTGATGATAACGTGTAATCACTCTTATACTCATCGTTATCAGTGTCTTCAGAATAATCTATATCTGGATAAATTTGGCAAAAGATAGGCAAGCTACAGTAATATTATATTCATTGATTTTCAATTACCTTGTAATTACTTTCATAAATTTCATTGAGTAATGAAAAAACATTTCAATATTTCAAATTCTCCAGCATACTACTAAAATACAAACAATGAATAAGTTGGAAAGTATAATTTTTGTGAACTGAAACTAAGAAACGTAATTAATCAAACTTTTTTGAATTTTGTTGAACATCTCCTCATGTTCCTCACTGCAAAAAACTCTGAAATTCAAAATGAGAACTAATAAAATGAGGAAAGTATGAAAAACCAAATAAAATGAAATAACATTTTTTTTATATTTTATGTTTCACTTCTAAATAAAAATAAAACAAAAATGAATAAAATAAAAATTAAATGAATGACTGACTGGGATATCAATAACATACATAGATCAGCAGTGTTTAAGAAATGAGTTATTGAATTGTTGCTGACTAATTATTTTGCAATAGTTTTTGGTTCATTGACAATGACCTAATGTATAAATCTGATGTTTTTTTTGGGTTTTGTGAATTTATTTGACTTTTTCATTATTTCAGTAACTTTTGGATGTGTTTCTTATTTGTGATTTTTGTTTGACCTAACAGGCCTATAATGGGCTTCTGGTCTGAGTTTTAAAGTTAATAAATAAATATGTAGCTAGTCCTATAAATATCTTTGTTAATTTACAGTATACATAAATATTTTATATATTAGGTATAAATATGTTTTTAATGTAAAGCAAATTACAAAAAAAATTGAAATAATTTTTTTCACATAGCTTTTTACTATGTGACTTCATATATAACACAAAAATCAACAAACTACAAATCAAATTTAAACTTCAAAATAAGTACCTGTAGAGTATTTGTGGTTCATCAGAATCATTAAAATTTCTAAGAACAATTCTTCGGGTTCTAGCATTCCTATCTAATTTTGCACAGTAGAAATGAAAAGTTTTTTTACATTTCGAGATTGCACAGCCTGCAGTTGCTCCTCCTCCCAAGTTATTTTTTGATTTTTTACCACTTTTACAACATATAGAACATTTCTGTTGAAATGAATTAATAATCAAACAATAAAACACACCATTTTATACAATTGTAAATCTAATTAAAAATCAAAAATCTCAATTTCATTTCAATCAAATATAAAATCAAATTAAAAAATTTAAATTACCAATAGCTTTCCTCTGTTTTGCTCTTTCAAAACTTTTTTTACTTTGAACCCACCAAACTTTTTCATTTGATATTGAACAAGCAGAGCAGAATATTGCTTTGAAAAATAAAATTAGTAATTAAAAAATTATCAAAATTTCATCTTATTTTAATCTTAAATTTTAAAAGTAAAACTAACTCCAGTTTATTAATTAAATAAAAAAAAAGTTTTTTACTTACCATGCATCGCTGGTGAGAGGTACATTTTGTATTTTTATCATGCCAGAGCTTACCGCAAATATGCTCAGCTTCGACACCTTGTTTGCAAAATCCACACTTAAAATCTGATTTGTTCATTTTAAAAAATCAGTCAAATTCAATTCCAAACAAAACACAGTCGATTAAGTTGGATAAACATAGCAAGAATCAACTGTTGCCTGCCAACGTTAGTTACGCTAATAAAAATTATTTAACCAAAAATCTGTAATGCCAAAACAATTTAATAAATTAACAGATGAGTGTTTAAGCGAACGTTGTTTAAATTATACAAAATAAATTTTGTTTTAAACTTTCTGAATAAATAAAATAGTATTCTGTAACTAAATTTAACGAAAGTTGAAATTATGTTCTGTTTCTCAAACCCATATACTCAATAGAATGGAATAAAACCTAAACACAACAATTCAGTTAAAATGGAAACAGATAATGGTCAGTTTTTTTACTTTAGGAATTGTGTTAAACTAATGTCATTGTAGCTCAGTTTTTTTTATTATGTAAATAAATATGTAGATAAATGGTACACTAATGTTTTATGAGTCTGTGATATATTCATGTACAAGGAAACAGAGGCAACATCAACCTGTTTTTAACCTAATCATTGTATGTATCAAGTTACTCCCTGGTTTCAAGCCCGGTTTTTCCCACATTTTATTTTTTATAAATTTAAATGGCTTTCCAGATTCATGTTGGATCAATCACGTGATCACCAAAAAATATTGAGATTTAAAAACTTTTAATTGATGGGCGGTCTGTGGCAAAGTTAAATTTATTTTGCGTTTACAAGGGCTGTGACGTCTCGAGACGAGCTATTTACTCTCTTGATCTTGCCTCGAGACTTTACAATGTTAGTCTTGACTTTGTCTCTGTCTCGTTTTAAAAACCATGTCATTCTTGGTCTCGTTTTTTTTAGTGTCTTTCGTTTTTTTTAGTGTCTTGATATGCCTTGAAAACAAGACGCAGATAGGAAAATATTTTGTATGCATTCAATTCAAAGTTTTAAACCATTTTTGATAAATTCTTCTAAAAGCGTACATTAAAGTACACACTAACTTATTTTGAAAAACAAATTACTCATTGGCAGTGCTTGGTGTTAATATCTGGTAATGGTAATATAAAACTATAAAAGTAATTACATCATAATCTCATAATCAAAATAGTCACATCAATCAGAAGGTCCAAGCATGTAATTCCTCAGGCTTCATATCATTTGGCATATAGATACAATACATTCTTAGGTTAATGTTAATATACAGTACAGACTACAGATACACTTAAATGTTCACATGTAAACAAATAAATGTGTACTTGTATATTATATACCAATGTATAAATATGCAAATGTGTACATGTGTATGTTTACAAATGAAAATATATATACACATTTTTATTTTTTTATATTTATGCATATTTGTTTGAAGTTAGGTGACAAAAATCCAGCTCAAATCTGACTTCCTTAAAAGTTCTCACTGATTTTTTTTTCAAATTTTGGCGTCTTAGTCTCATTCTTGTCTTTAGATGTTTCGAGACATGTTCCTTGAAAGTCTTGTCTTGGTCTTGTCTTGACTTGAGCTTTCAACGTCTTTGTCTTGTTTTTAAAATACACTGTCTTGTCACAGCCCTGGCATTTACCGGTTTAATATTTAATTCATCAAGTTATTCTTGCTGTTTTTTTTATCTCATGTTGGAATGACTCCATAAAATACTACTAATTTTTATACATGGATGAAGTGAGCTATTCTAAGCAATTGAGATTGATTCATTTTTATTTATTTTTTTCTGTTATAATTTTTTTTTTGAAAATATTCTTCTAAATAAATGACTGAAAATTTTTTAGTCACTAGGTTTTTTCTGTTATTTAGTGATGTTAATTAATATCCGTTTATTAATTTTATAGAAGTTTTATTGAGTTATTTTATTAATTATTTATATACTGGTTTTAAAATCATCATTAGGCAAGGCATCAAATCACATATTAAATTTACAATTTATATAAATAGCATTTGCAGCTAAATACAGGATTCATATTAATTTTTAAATATAAACTAAGGAACTCAAACTTTTTAATAGTTTAAAATTTTAAATAAAATAAAGTTGCACATATCAAATATTTTATAAAGGCTACAATCTCAGAAGTTGCAATGGAGATCATTGATGAAATGGCTTTAGGTTTGTGCTTTGAAATACACAGATCTTGTAAAAGAGGCCTTTTATTTCTTGATGAAATGGATGCAGAGTAAGTTATACATTATATTTCACTTCTGGTTATTCTATTGTTCAAATCAAACTTTGCATTTAAAATAGTGATCACGATAATTTTTAAGAAACAAGACATTTTGTATTAAACTAATTAATGCTTATGCTGTATTGCTATGCTGCTGATCTCCGTTTGAAAAAGTTTGTCCTCAATTATAATTATTGGCATGCCAGGTAGCTTTCCACTTTTAACAATTCTCTTCTTCCAGTGTAGACAAATACTCTTTTTTTTGGATTATCAATTTTAAAATTAGTTTCAATCATGTTGGTTGAGTTAAATCTTCAACTTTGTTTAACTTATAGGTCTCAGAAGCTTTATGGTTAGTTTTAACATTTTAAAACCATTTTTGTTTTTTTTGTCAACCTCAACAAAAACAATGATTTAAATTCAAAGAAATTGTCAATATTAGAGGAGTTGATGTATTTGGACAAACGTTTTCTGCTAAAAAGCAGTATGACTGCATTTGCCCTAACTGCCACAGAAATCTGGCAGCCTCAAGATTTGCTCCACATCTTGAAAAATGTATGGGCATGGGTGGATGTGTTTCTAGAATTTCTAGTAGAAGGTTCAGGTTAGAAATTTTGCTTGTTGTAGATTATATCATTTTGAATCTTCTCTTTTGTTTTCATAAGAACTAACCACAGTGTGAAAAAAGAAAGTGAAGTAGAGAGTGATGACAATAGTGCTGATAATGATTGGACTTACCAAGGAGACAAATCAAGTTAGAGGATCATGTTGAAATATATTTATATAAGTAGTTTGAATTTTAATCCTAATTTTGATTCAATGTAGGTAAAAAATTCAAAAAAGAGAAGAAACTGACTAAAAAATCAAAACTGTCAGCTAAACAAGGCAAATATTTTTTGGCATTATGTAGGACTTGTAAATTATTTTACAAATCGAAAAATATTTTTACAGAGTTTTTGGAAGATCCATATTTTCTTTACAAAAATATGTCTCTAGGTTATTTTTGGAACAGTATTTTTAGTGTTCGTTAAAATGATAAAAAAGTTTTAATATTTTAACAGAAGAGAAGAAACTGCTTTTATTGAAGGTATTTTATAAAATAATTGTATTGAATCAATGAATGTCACAAAGTTTATAATTGTAGAATTGTGGAGTCATTTCAGAGCATGCCAAGAAAATGTGTACCAGGTACTAATTTTTATCAACTGCAGCTCTTACTAAATTTTCAAATACTACTATTGTTCACATCAAATTATTTATTAAACAGATCACTTAATTGTCCTCAGCATACTGATGAACAAAGATTAGCTATAAGAAAAGCATTGTTGTCATCTACATCATCCATGCTGTTGGTTTCATTTGGTTTTACATCCATATCTTAGTGGTAAATTTCTAACTAAATATTTTATGAAGGGAAAGTGGAATTCTAAATAAAGCTAAAGTGACTGCTTTAGAAAGCATGAATGTGTCGCCCAGTGATTCATGCTCCACCTTTACAAGTTTGTTTCACTTTCTCCTATCTGATTTGAATGAATATGTCTAATCATTAATTTTAATATTTTCAATATTTGTTAAAAGGCATTGGTTCTAGTAAAAAAGAAAAAAATAAACATAAAAGAAAAAGATGATGTTTACTGGCCATCTAGTCTTTTTTTTTGTTTTGATGAAGTTGTTTTTTTTTTACATCTGATAAAACTTTGTTTTAGTTCATAAGTTTGGTTTTAAAATAATTTTAAGCCTGCACTCAGTTGTACAAATACATTGTTATCCAGTGCAGACTGGCTTTTGACAATTATTGTATTTTTGACAGTTGTTAATTCTGCTTTGATTCTATAACAATTTATAATTTGATTTGAGCTTATATTCATTGTGCTTGATTTTTTCAAGATGTTCATTTAATCTGCATGTCTTTTACGTAGTTTTTTAAGCTCGCTAGTCTTAAAATTAGTCAGAAGTTATTTATTGAGTTCATTAAAACAAACTGTTGAAGTACCTTTCTTTTTTCTAATTAAAACTTGTTTGGTTACTGCTACTTGAATAAATTAAGTTAAACTGTTTGGATTTTTTTGTTACATTTATATCCAAATTTAACAAATTGTGGATTGCGTGATCATGTTTTTATGCAAGTACTGTAGTGTAACTCCATTCTATACTAAAATTTCCATAGGAAATCGATCTCAAACGTTAGATTCGGCAGATCCAACGCTTACCGGAATTTAGGCTCTTATTCGAATCTGGAACTTCCATTCCTAATTTTATTTGTACGTACATTAGTTGTGCACATCTATCTATACATGTGCAACATGAAACTTGACTAAGATATTTATTTCTTGCAAGCTTATAGTTAATTCGAGAACTTACAACTAAACGCTATTGGCGCAAGCTTTTTGAAATTGTAGCAATTCTAAGCCTATATTTATTAGGTTCAATTCCTGTGGTCGTAAAAATCGAAAGAGAAATTTATCGTCATTGTTAACTATAGACAAATGTCACGGCGAGAATTTCTGTTGGACAATCTACCGAAACCATGTATATATATTCCGTGATCTAAACAGTCAACATTTTTCATAAATAAATTTTGTATGACTGACTTGATTAACAAAATGTATTTTTGATATTACTTTAACTTTTTGCCTTGTCAAAATGCCATTGTTAAAACAAAAGCTTGTCAGTCTTAAAGTGTATTTTTGCGATTTTTAGCCGTTAGTAAATCTACATGTTGGAACCTAATTTTTTAGAGATGAAATTTTAAAAAATCATACATATATTATTGAATTGTGTCATACTAAACGTCGAAGTGTTAGAATCTGTTGATTTTTTATCTACCATTTAATTAGGTATATATAAATTTGCAATACGTATTCCAGCAAAAATCTGGCTTTTTGTCACATTCCATCTGGTTCTCCACCTTTTCGACCATCAGCAACAGATTCAATGCAGTCTTCACGGTAACAGTTGATCTTGATGATGTTACAGACAGCTGTCCAACCTTCTGGTGATATGACTTCGCTCATGTGACCTTTGCTTTTCAGACCGTCAATATGCATCTGTCAATCGATCAATAAATCAAATCGTCAAATGTGCTGATGAGCCTTAACGAGAACAGCTCCACTGAAATTAATTTTAAACCAAGAATATAATCTCATTGTAAATTTAAAATCTTATTTCATCAACTAGATTCAAAATTGTAAAATTTTATAACCTAATTTTCAGAGTTCTATTTTCAGAATTTACATGTATAGTTAATCTTATATTTATATATAAATTCATTAAGTTTTTTTTGTTATTATTAACTATCAATACATGAAAAATGATACATAATCCGCTGAGATTTGAAATTAGCGATCTTCATCAAATAAAAAAAAACAAGTTGCTAAATGAAAGTCATTTTTCATAATACCTGGCTAATCCAGTCTTCATACAAGATCCTGTCAGGAAGAAGTTGGTGGTGTACACGTGCTCGATCAACTGATTGATTTAATGTTTCATTGCCCCACAGAGCACCCACCGCTACCTTGGTGTAAGTTTTAAATTACATTAATGTCATGATGAACGTTCGAAAACATCAAAATGAAGCACCCCAGCTAAAGCAGTTATTATCCTTGAGCCACCTTCTGCACCGAAAACATATTTGACATTTCCCTGAGAATCCATCAGGAAGGATGGACTCGTTGATGACATTGGAATCTTGCCAGACTGAATGTAGTTTGTAGGAGAAGGTACGTAGCCATAGTAGTTTTGTTGAAAAGGGCTTGAAAAGTCATCCATTTCGTTGTTGTATAAAATACCTGTTTTTGATCCCTTGACTAGCGAGCCAAACCTTAAAATAAATATTTGAAATACTGAAATATTTTTGTTAGTTTGAATTTTAAATTTTTTATTTATAATAATCCAAACCCAGTGTTAATAGTTGATGTCATGGCTACGGCTGATCCATCAGGTCCATACACACTTACATGAGACGTTCCGTGGTCTTCGAATTGATTATAAGAATTGTTGTAATGAGTTGTGTTGTTGAATGTCTTCCTGTCGTCAATTTTTGCTCTGATAAACTCGGCAAATTCTTTTGAAATCATTTTCTGCATAAGCTTTAGCACATTTTATTTGTATTTTTTTAATTAAAAAGATTAATAAACATGTGAGCATTAATAAACTGGTTTATTTAATCAGTTCTGTCACTTATTTAAAATTCTCTAACCTGTGACACATTCACAAAATTTTCATCTCCCATCATGCCTCGGCCAGCGTAAGAAAATTTAAACGCTTCAACCAGTCTGTGATACGTCAAACCCATATTTTTTGGAGAAAAGTCATTAGGCGTCAGTTTGTACCCTTGGTTTGTAGATTGATTTGAAAAAATGTTTCATCAATAAAACAATGAAGATATCAACCTGCGAGGATGTTCAATATGAGTCCCAGTACAACTCCGCTGGATGGAGGTCTCAGACTGTGGTGTGTTAAGTTGGTTCCTTGCAGTTTTATGGCTGTTGCTTCTTTCCATTCAACTTCATAATTTTTTAAATCTTCTTCTGTTATGATTCCTCCTGTAAAATGAATTCAGAAAAAATGAACCATAGAATAACTTTTGATATACTGCCTGCATATCGTACACAAATCATTGAGTTATTAAGACTCAAATTTCTGTAAACCATTTTCTATATTCATCTTATCTATTATATTGCTCAAACAAGTTTTAATCTCGGTTGCAAACTCAGACCTGGCCTTCATTTTCTTTTATCATTTTCTGCCTTCGTTGTCTCTCACTATTCATTATATTATTATCGGTCTGGGATATGAAATGTGAATTTTTGCGCTTTATATATTTATACTTTCTACATTCTCTATGTTCATATTTTTTTAAATTTTATGTTCACTTTCTATGTTCATTTTTCATCTCCATTTCCGATATTATCATCAGCTTTTTATACGGTTTCAAAATTTATCCTTCAATTTCCATCCATTTCTATTGAATTGAAAATGATTTGTACGTCGTCAGTGCTGCTCAATTTTGTCAAAAATTTTTTGAAACATTTTTGAATTGGTGACTGGATGAAAGAGACATAGAAACAAATAAAAATAATTATTTTATAAACTATTAACACAGTAGGTAATTGTGAAACGAAATTTGTTATTTAAATTTGTTATAAAAAGAACATTCATTCATTCAAATTGAACAAAAATGAAGTTAATACCATTTCTCACGCATTCAGTTATTGATATCATTATGTTAATAACCAGCATGTCTTCTAGTGGTTATATTATCAAGTGTTTGTACAATTGACGCACGTGTGAAGTGTTGGAATGGTGCGTAATACTTTGAATCGTTGAAATTTTTTTTTAAATTATAATTTTTTTAAATAAACATTTGGCGAAAATTATTTTGAATTAAATTTTTGAAACTTTGTTTGTCAATACGTGAGCCATATAACGACATTTGCGAACAACTACTGCTGCGTTTTAAAGATGCGTGAGCAAATTATAAACTAAAAATTCAAATACTTATTCAAAATTGCAAAAATAAAATAACTTAATGCATTCAATGCTGTATTCTAGCTCAAATTTCTAACTTTTTCGCAACATTCAAAATGTTCGTAAAAACGATTCACTCGCTAAACGCTGATATAAAAAACTTTATGAGTCTTTTATCACATCCAATAAATTATTATTGATCATAACATTTTAGAGATCATAAACTAAAGCATCTCATTTGCATAACAAATTAAAAATTTTGATTGATAATTATATTGCAGAATCACTTGAAATAGATTTTTGATACAATATATTTTACGTTTATAGAATTGATTTTTCAAAGTCTTTAATGCTTTGCTGTAACGTTTAGTTCAAAAAGCCAATGTAAGGGTATTCATATAAATAACTATATGTTAATAATGTGAAAGTTCAAAAGTTACTCGTTATTTTATATGGAAGTTGAATGTTTTTTAAATTGCATTTCACCTGCGTTTTGCACTTCCTTCGCGACTTCCACCGCAAGATGTCCTTCATAGAATGACATGGGATCGGCGGATATGTTTCGATAGGTCACGGCCAGTTTTTGATCCTTGATGATGTCACCAAGTTTTAGGAGCGTGCCATCGTTTTTAGTGAATGTAGCTCTTAATGCAGAGAAGTTTATTTTTACTTTAATAAATTTCGATAAACTAGTACATAATTAAATTCAACTTGAAACTTAAAAAATGTTTGATTTCAACTGGTTTTGAAAATTACTTTAAGCTCGGATTGTTATCAAGCTGATCTTTTGTGAGCATTGAAATAGCTTTAGCCAATGATTTTTCAACTACGAAACCATTTTCCAGCAACTTAATTGAAGGATCCAGCAAATCGCTCCATGGCAATCTCCCAAATCTTAGCATTGTCGATCATGAAAAATTTACGGTTAGGCATAATATCTAGAATACTTTCTAAAAGATCATTTAAGTCTGTAATTGTGAATGTTACAATTTGTTATTGGACTAATGATTTGGAAATGTTGAACCTTTTCCAAGCGTTGTAAAATCCTTTAATTTCGCCTGGTACTGCAACGGCTAGTCCTCCTGAATGATTATGAATTAATAGTCAGAAACATCAATTTTTTTGAAGAGCGTTCATCATACAAGCAACTTACCAATTTCAGACGAAATATTTCTGAACATATCAAATTTAGCTTTCCTTGGTGCCCGTTCACGCGCTGTGATTGTTGTCAGTATTTTTCTACTTTCGTTTCTTGGACTGTTAAGCATATAAAAATAAATCAAAATTATGTGATCATCTTATTATAAAATTTAAAAAAGAAAAGATTATAATACAAATGTTCAACTGTAAACTTGTACAATATTATAATAATAAATAGTATATCAACAAATCTAAAAAAGATGTGTTTAAATATAATTAAACAGCATAGCAAAATCCATAATCGGAAACCTTTTAAAAATTGAACGGTTAGTTCAATTAATTACAAGATTTTATGGAGTGCGAAAGTAAATGACCAACGTGTCATATATGATGGCCAGATGACCTCCTCCGAAGCCGCAACTGTGCAAACTGACCACTCCAATGCAGATCATCGTTGCTATCGAAACATCCACCGCAGATCCATTTCTTTGGAATATTGATCTAATGTTCAAATTTTTTTATTCAAATTCTTACAATTAATTTATATTTTCGTGCAAAAAATGTTGCTTGAAAATTGTAAATACTGTGAATGTAAATTAAACAACAAACTTTCCGATTTTGGAGCAGACTTCTGAATCAGAGCTGACTGCATAGGAGGAGAACTTCCTGTAAGCCGATGGATGAAAGCTGTTAATATTAATTTTCTCAACGTCGTCTGTTGACCGCCCTGAGAGAACAACTGCAAGTGCAATCACCACGCAAACTACAATCGCCGACACTGCCAAAGCAGTTAAGGCTAATATTTTCGACGATTTATTCATGTTTTTAGGTGACAAAGTAAAACAAACTTTAGACAACTTGTAATGAAATTTTATTAAAACTAATGGATTGAAACCATAAAAAACTTGCATGAAGTGTGCATAATATATATATATATATATGTAATATGTGCATCATATATATATATATTAACATATATATATATATAGACATATATGTAAATATATATATATGTGAGTCAACCTGAATCCACAAGTACGTGAGTTTACAAAGGGTGAGAATTTCCGACCTGCCCCCACAAGCATGGCTGGCCAGTATATTATATGCTGTGTCTCTACAATGTTAATTTTTTGTAAGAAATTTAATTTTGAATATATTGGTTTGAGGACGACCAAGCTATCGAGAAGACTCACGATGCACGTATAAACTAGCCCTATAAAGAATCACATGACAGGGAAACGCAAAACTAAAACTTCTAAGCAAATCTTGGACAACTATGTTAAAATCTTATTTTACAATAACAACCAAATTAATTTACGATTGGCCGAATCAATTTTTATAGAACAAAGACTTAAAATATTCAACAACGTGCAATTGAAGTCCTTCCCACAAATAAATTTAGAAACAGAGGTAATAATGAAACGTAAAAGTGTCATATTGCGCAAAAGTGAAGATCGTAATGTATTGTCATAAAGTTATTACCGTAAAATTAAATTAACTAATAAATAATTCACTTTAAACCAGGGGTTAGCAAACTTTTTGCTGCGAGGACCGCAGTGAGAACTATTTGACCTTTAAAGGGCAGCATATCTACTTAAATAGCAAATTTTTTCGACCCGGCGGAGGGAGAATTTTTTTGAGATTTGAGGCTCCTTTTTTTGGTCATAAAGTCTGGCTGACGACCATTTTTTGACGAACATGGCCTCGCGGGCCGCATCAAACAGCCGTAGTTTGCCCACCCCCTGTTTTAAACAAACAAAGAATTACCATTGTAGAGACACAGTATATATATATATATATATATATATATATACATATATATATATATATATATATATATATCTATTGTACTTAAGCATTTGGCCATATACACAACGTATCAATTCGAACATCAAAGATGGTATAGGAATACAGAAAAAACCTTTTTTGTTCTAACATGCTTAAAATAAATAAAAATGTTGGTTTTGAACTCAAGAAACTTGACAATGATTTACGATCTACCGTTAGAAAAATCGAAAAATTAAACAGGAAGCTAACTAACGCTGAACATGCTGTGGTTTTTATCAATATATCAATAATTGCATTTCTGACAGTTTTAATTATATATATATATATATATATATATATATATTATTGGTGAAAATTACAGCATATTCGGCGTTAGTTAACTTCCAATTTAACTTTTCGATTTTTCTAACGGTTGATCGTAAATCATTTTCAAGTTTCTTTAGTTAGAAACCGTTAAAAAATCGAAAAGTTAAATTGAAAGGTAAATAATGCCGAACATGCTGTGATTTTCATCAATAATTGCATTTTTGACAATCTTAATCCAATATATATATATATATATATATATATATATCCCGTACAAAGTAAATCACACATACTGTTATATATCGTTATGTTCTGTTAATTTCCTTCTATTGTTGCATGTCACAATAAATTCCTATCTGCAACTCTGCAATTGAACATTTGTTTGCTCTCTGCTTATGGTTTCAGTCAGTATTGCCAATCATGTGTTTGTTAATAAATTTTAACGTGTTATCCAAGGTCGAGTGCCGCTTATTGTTAATTTTGTTTTGAAATAAGTTTGACCTATAAAGTATTCTACAAATAATAACAACAATATATATATATATATATATATATATATATATGTGTGTGTGTGTGTGTGTGTGTGTATTTATATATATTTAAATGATATATATATAATTGTGTGTGTGTATGTATGTGTTTGTGTGTGTATGTATGTATATATACCATCATCAGGTTACTGAAAAAAGCTTTTATGTAAATGTATGAAAAATGCAGTCTAAAATAATTCGAAATTTTACTATTAAATTGAATAAATTGAATTATATTGATAAAATAATTGTTCGAAAAATTTTAAAAAACTTTGTTACAAACTCAACAATGCGGAAAGGTAAATGCGCTGATATTTCTTAATAACTGTATATACGGCAGTCTGAACCTACATATATATATATATATAACAATAAATGCTGATCACAGGAACATAGGCCTGGGTGATAAAAATTCTGTATATAAACCGCAACGAGTGCTGATGATGATTGATAAATCGAAATAGTTCCTATGCATTCGAGAATGAATAGGAAATCTGTATATTATTTTAATTTTAATAAAATAAATATTGACGACAAGAATTTGATAAATATTGAGAAATGTAACAAAAAACAATTCAACTCAAGAAATTCAGTAGATTTAATAAATTACTGTATATTTATAAAATATTTGATCTCGAAAGGCGTCGCCATGAGGTACCTTCAGGACTGCAGTTTCCACTGAAATATTATTTTGATATATTTAATATATATATTTTAAAGTTCAACATTTCCACCCTAGCAAAACAGTTAAATTTTAAAGACTTGTATTTCTAATACATCACTCGTCACATAAATCGGACACTATTTAATGGCGATCACTTTATCCCTCACTATACTTATGATCGTCTGTCTGCGCAAATAAAATAAAAATAGATTTATTTTTCTCTCTCTACATGATCGTTTGCATAATTAGGCGACATGCAGTGTATCTAATGACACGCTGCATAAAAATCAACTAAATCAGGGGTCTCCAAGGTGAGGAAGATCTCAAACACACGAGTGAGATCGATTGCATTCATTCAATTTAATGTCCAATGTGTAGGTTTTTTGTTCACTATTAAATTAAATACCACAACGAATCACTTTTATTCAACCTCACTCTGGATTGCAGAAAGATATTGGATGTTTAATATATTTTTTCACTTTCCAATTTTCCATTTAAAGATTGAAAATTTAAAAAAAAATAATGTTTCACAAGATGTATATTACACCACCCTAAACGCGTTTTTTAAGAACGTTTTTAATGAATGAAAGTCGAAAATAATGTGGTCGATCTAAATTTGAAAATTTATTCGTTAAAAAACAATTACGTACCACAATATTTGTTCCTAAATAGCGAGATTTAAAGTGAAAAGTTCATAAGAAAACAATCGGGAAAGAGGTTAGGATATTCTAACACAGCAATCATTAAAATTTATCAACACTCAACGGTCCAATGGCTAGGATTTAACATGACGTTACACTGACAGAAAAATTTAAGCGCAGTTCGTAAAACCTTAAACCTCTAAGCCCATATTTATATCTTTATTTTAATAAATATAGGTAAAATTGTAAGGTTTTTTTCGTCTACTTCTCACACAATTACGAAAGTCTGACGTTCTTTTCGATCGACATTTTGTGGGAAAATATTCTAAAATTAGCAGTCAAACAGAGTTATATAACAAATATTATTAGCTCCACAATATAATACAGCTAATACAGTTAGCATGAAAACTTTAACAGAAAACGCAATAGAAACAAAAATGGCGTTTATATGTAAAATGAAAGATAAATGATGTTTAAAATAACCACAACGTTATTTATCACAAATTGAGCATAAAATGGAAATTTTAGTTTTCTGATAAATCAGAGCCGTAAGCAGGCCATTGTGATGTACCAAACCAGACGTTACACTCCATTTGGCTCGCCACCCTTCCGCCCATCGGCAACAGCTTCTATGCAGTCAACACCAGCACAGTTCACTTTGATCGTATTTAAAATGGCCAGGTACTCAGCAGACTGCATGGTGTGACCCTTGCTTTTTAACTCGTTGATATACATCTATTGCAAAAATTTTATTGATAAAAAATTTAATTATTCTCACATTTTCAAATTTTAATATAATTTTTAAAAATGTACATTCGTTTTTATACATTTCATCAAAAGGCGACGATCAACTGGTGATGCTGGAGGCGCGATAGTGTAATGGTTAAGGTGCTTGGCGTTGCTGTTGCGGTGACCGGGTTCCAATGTAAGTAGATTCCCACCTATTACACGCAATGTGTGCTTCGTCGATTCGCCTTTATTTATTAAATGCACTTTGTGCTTGTTATTGATTAGCAAACAGAGAATTGTAATGGTAAATATGTAGCAACCATAGATATTGAAACTACTTGTTACAGTCATTTAAAACGTAATAGTGACAAGGTCTTGTCACAAACTCCAAAGAATTAATTACAAATTTACAAAAAGTGAAATTTATTTTATATGAACAATAAAAATTGGGATATTTTTGATCGAGCATTTCTGATCATATATAACATACAAAATATATTAAATACTTTTTGATAATAACGGTTTCAAGGTTGTCTTACTTATTTTATTGAATTTGACTGATGCAATTATCCATCTCATTTCAAGACATCAGTTTCTACATCAACTTATTTTTTCCAGTGCAGTCCAACACAAATGTCCATCAACAAACAACGCGATGTCTTAAAAAATAGTTGAATATCATACATTTTTTTTCTACTAAAATTGCCTTATTGTATGTTGTCCATTTCTTTAACGGATGCCAGGGCAAAGTTAACGTTAAGTGCTTATAATAAACTGTTCGGGAAACTTCTAAACGGCATAGGAATCGTAATAATTATGTGTAACCAGCTAGAGCTGAAAATAGAATATAATTGTGTCAACGTCTCTCGGTCAAAGTTTAATTTCATAGTACTTTATTTTAACTTTTATAATAAAATTTCAGAAGTTTGGCGACCCATAATGTATCGTTGAATATAATTTTTAAAAAATGTGAAAAAACCCAATGTTGAAAAATTGCCGGTAAAAATAGTCACTAATATTGATACAAGTGTTGTGCTGAACTGAAATAAAATAAATAAAGTTTTATACCGGGTCAAGCCATTCCTCATAAGTTAAATTGCTTGGTAGAAGTTGGTGATGTACTCGGGCTCGATCGACTGACTTGTCCAACGTTTCATTTGCCCAGAGGCTGTTCATGGTAACCTAACCAGACGAAAAAAAATTTTGGTGAGACACGCAACATCGAAGACATTGTAAAAAAAAAAGAAAAATGAACTACCCCAGCAATAGCCGTTACTATTCTTGATCCACCAGAAGCCCCTGAAATGAGTTTGATATTTTGCTGGGAGTCCATGATGAAGGTCGGACTCATTGACGATAAGGGAATCTTGCCGGGCTGTATGAAGTTGTTAGCAGATGGCGCGTAACCGTAAAAATTGCTTAATAATGAACTTGAAAAATCGTCCATCTCATCGTTGTAGAGAATACTCGTCTGTGAGCCTTTGATCGTTGAGCCAAATCTTACAAGTGATTGATTTTTAAGTTGTGTGAAATGTTAAAGAATGTTTTTACGTAGGCCCTACATTAAGCAATTTATATGAAATTTTGTTACAGACATTGTATGAATTTGTGACGTGTTGAATTTTGAATCATGAAACATCAGAATAAAATCTAAATATATTCACCCAATATTGATAGTTGAAGTCATGGCCACAGCTGAGCCATCAGGTCCATACACACTTATATGAGCCGTTCCGTGGTCTTCGAATTGATTATAAGCATCCATGTAATGGGATGCATTGTCGTAAGTTTTTCTGTCATCTATTTTCACTCTGATAAACTCAGCGAATTGCGTCGAAGACATTTCTTCCACAAGCTTTTGAATGTAAGAAAGTTGTGAAAATTAAAATAAATGTTTAACAAAATATACAAACATTTTACTGAATTGCAAGCAAGAACGATTGTCTAACTTGAGTGACGTTCACAAAGTTTTCGTCGCCTAACATACTCCTACCGGCGTAAGAATATTTAAATGCTTCAACCAATCTGTGATACGTCAAAGCCATATTCTCACTAGCAAATGCGTTCGGTTTCATTTTGTATCCTTAAAATTGAAATAAAAAGTAAATATGTTTGTTGATCATGAATGAGTTAGTAGGGGGTCGGCTGCAACAACCTGCGAGGATGTTCAGTATGAGTCCCAGTACAACTCCGCTGGATGGAGGTTTCAGACTGTGGTGTGTTAAGTTGGTTCCTTGCAATTTTATGGCTGTTGGTTCCTTCCATTCAACTTCATATTTTCTTAAATCTTCTTCTGTTATAATTCCTCCTGCAATAATGATTTGTTTTCATGTTTTAAATTTTTTTGCCGAAATATTTTAAAAGCTTCTAGAAATGTATAAAAATTGTATTCTCAAAATGTAACTTGTTAACATCAATAATACATACACACGATTTCTAAAAAGTTATTGAATTACTTCAAGCCTGAATAAATTATTATTTATTTTGGTTACTATTCATGTTAATAGCTGATAGTTAATTATCATGACTGCTATAATAATTTTCTGAAAATCTCACCTGCACTTTGTATTTCTTTGACAATTTCTTTGGCAAGAGGTCCTTCATAGAAACTTTTAGGATCGGCTGATATGTTTCGAAATGTCGCTGCTAATTTTGGGTCAACGATGACATCGCCAAATTCTAAGAGCGATCCATTATTTTTTGTATACACCGCCCTGCATGATTGAATGAACATCAAAAAATACTTTTTTACTTACCGTTCGTTAAAACACAATTGCAAAATTAATTATTTTATTAGACAGCCATTTACACAATTTAAAACATTTCCAAGTTACATCAGGCTTGGACTGTTCAAGAGTTGTTTTTTGTAATCTCTAGATATCGCTCTGGCCAAGGCTCTTTCAACTTTAAAGGATCCGTTCTCGAGAAGTTTAATCGTAGGTTCAAACAAGTCACTCCATTGCAATCTTCCAAATCTAAGTTACAATAATAAATTTTTTATTTTAATTGACTGGGATAAGCAACAGTATTTAACAATAAATTTATTTGCAACAATCTCATTTGTATGTTTATCACTAATAAATTAATGTTTTACAAACTTTTCCCAAGCCGAATAGAATCCTTTGATTTCGCCAGGAACCGCAATAGCTAACCCTCCTGTTGAAATGTTTTTGTAACGATGATGTTCAGTTATCTTTGTGAACAACGCGTTAGTGAGCATATCAATCATTTTATCATAAAGCAAGCGAGTCACCGATTTGGGAGGAGGCATTTTGGAACATGTTTTCGGTTGCCTTCAATGGGGCTCGCTCCCTCGCTACTAAGGTCGTCAAAACTTTTCTGCTTCCGTTTCTCGGACTGCATAATTATGTATTATTATTAATACTACTAATAACAATTAAATAATAATAATAATTCAAGTTATTATTATTATTATTATAAAGTATTATTATTATTATAAATACTATTATTGAATCAATATTGATAATAACAACATTTAGACACTTAGAATATGGTCAGAGAATGTCTAAAACATTCAGATGTTAAGTTATCTGTGCTAGTAGAGTAAGCAGAAATATAATGACTCATTTTTAAACACTGTGACACTGTGACATTATTCCTTAAACACTGTTCAAGGATTAATTTTTTAGATTTTTTACAAGATAGATAGTATTTGAATTAAGTTTTCCTGACTGAAACAATTCAGAATCAAATAAAAACTTTAAACAGAAGAACCCACGTATCATATATGATGGCAAGATGACCACCCCCAATACCAGAGCTGTACAGACTGGCCACTCCGATGCAGATCATCGTTGCTATCGAAACGTCCACGGCTGATCCATTTTTTTCAAAGATGGACCTGAAATTAAACAAATAATTTGCATCAAGCTGTTATTTAAATCCATCCATGAATCAAATTCTAACTACTTAAACTAAATCAAAATGTCAGCCAAGACTGTAAGAGCGCCATGTTTCGCAGTGGTGGATCTAGCGGTCCCCTCCATTGTGATCAATTATTTTAATAAAAGTCAGAAAAAGAACAGTTTTAGGAAGAAAATTGACAAAAAATTGGACGTGAGATGCAAATAAAAGATCGTCAGTCACACTACCACAAATTTTGGCCTCCCGTGAACATTTTGACTCCCCGTAAAAATGTGAACATTTCAATGTTTTTGCCCCACGTCAAAGTTGACTAGATCCGCCACTGGATGTGCACGCTAATGTGATTCGAATTCAATCTGTGCTAAGTTTAAAGACCTTAATTTGCCTGGCGTTAATGATACTCTGCTTATGTGGGTTCATAGAAAAATCTTTTAATTTAAACTTCTTGCTTTCATAAATTAAACTTATATTACAAATTATTATAACGGCATAAAAAACTGGCTTTTAAAAATTTATGCCAATAAAAATTTGCACAAAAAAAACATTGATCACTTGTAGCCTGCAGTTCAGTTGACCGAAATAAACTTCTGACAAAAATTAAATTGTTTGAAGAAACATGTTTGAAGAAATATGTTTTGTATTTATTTCATTTTATTTTATTTTTATGGAATGAGCATAAGTTCAATTTTTTTAATTTTTAAAAGCTATATAATGATCAATTGAAAGATTCATTGGTTGAGATGTTAAGTAGAAAATATAGCGATTTTAATATATTAAAATGTTGAACCATAAAGCAGCAACGAACCTTCCAATCTGTGAGCAGAGGGGAGAATCGGAAGTAACAGCGAATGAGGAGTACTTCCTATAGACGGATGGACGAAAACTGTTGACGCCGACGACAGGATCAGCTGGTTGCGAAAGGACAACCGCAAGTGCAATCAATCCCAACGCCACGATGGTTGAAGCACTTACTACCACTATGATTAATGTTTTCGATGATTTGTCCATTTTTCCAGAGGATTTGAAAGCGTGAATAAAAATAACTGAAAACGGTTAACTATAAGTTTAATGTATCACTCAGCAGTCTTGAACAAATTACATTATTCGAAATTGTGTATAAAAGAACAGCCGCTTTGACGCTTTCTATAGAAATCTTGCATTATTTAACGGCGATCCTATTTTCATGTGCATGCATATGACGTATTTAAAAGTCAATTAATTTGTTTATATTATAGGTTTGTGATATATTTATGATGTACTTTTGTACGCTTGATAAGTACTGAGTGTGGCTGACGTGCAGGTCTTTGTGTATGTATGTGTTTGTGTGTGTATGTGTTTGTGTGTGTATGTGTTTGTGTGTGTTTGTATGCGTTTGAAAATGTACGTGTTTGTATATTAACGTGTTCGTAGGATGTTAGATTATCAATAGCAGTATAGCTGATACGATTTGTTTCATTTACACTAAAAACATCTAATGAATGCTATAATAAAATTTGGCTTACACTAATGTGCTTAACACAAAGACTGTTTCACTTGTTGTAATTCACTTAGAAGGTATACAACAGCTGGTCATTTGCGACTAAATCGTGTGTGTAAATATTCGCATATCTGTTGCTGAATTTTTTTTTATAATTTTGGTTGTCACACATGTAAAAATTACTAAAGACGCATATTTTTGTTTTGAAGTTTAAAATATTTTGATTGTCATTATTCGCGTCCACTGTAAACGTACCTACAATCTGCAGATTGTGGTATCGTGATAACTTGCAAAAATTTTTAAGAATAAATTTGATTTCAATTTTAAATGAACAGAGCTCCAATGAAAAATAATTTGCCGTTGAAATCAGCTTCATTCAATTAAATTAATTACCTGTCCCGTTCAGTTACACGCATTTAAAGTATTTATAAAAATTCAACAAATTGACGCTAATGAATGAACATAAGCTGAATTCAAAAACACAGTCTAATAATTCACATATATATTTTTCATTGATAATATTCAAGCACACATCGCTATTATATAAAATAACAATTCATGTTGAAATATTTTATAAGTTGAATAGTAATTACCCTCATTACAACCGTGCATAATTAATGATATCAATTTATTTATAACGATGCTATGATGAGTTAAACGATGATGACAATGATAGCATAAAAAAATGATTAGAATGTTAGAGATTGGCTGGTTGCAGCAACTCAAACGTTAAAAAATGTACATTCAGACAAGGCGTGTTTAGTTTTTTACAATTTAGTACATTTAATTATTCATAATTTCTTCTACTCTTTTAAAAATAAGTTATTTAACATTTGTTTGTAATTTGGAATAAGAATGTAGGCCATTATCAAACCGTAGTTTAGAATTAACTAGTTTGTTAACGGTTTGATATTGTCTTTAACTGTCAACTCAACTGATAAATAATCGTTTATTGTGCGCTCGACCGCAAAAAATATCGTGATCTTTTTAAACAATAGTGGATGTGAATATATGAATATGAATATATAACGCAACTTGCACATACTATCTACTGTCAGAAGATTTTTCAGTTGAATCCACAATCTAAACAGTTAATATTTCATTTATTCATGTTTAAAAATTTGGGCGCGTAGTGTAGAAGTTATTTTTGTTCTTTCGGGCAGGTATTAGCGGTCCCACTGTAAAGAAGTGGGAAGAATTCAGGAATGTATCAAACGTTTTCAGTGAAGTATGCGCATGAAGGAAACCTCTTCATGCCTTAGCTGGAAAGCCATGAAGATATCTGCTTGATTAACAATTCTCGAGTGTGCCGTTGAAAAATGTCTTATGCCGCTATCAATCATTACATTATTATGACGCATGTATATATTTATAAGTTTATGTATGTCTAAGTCATTATATATATATATATATATATATATATATATATATATATGTCTAAGTCGTTTCATCTTCCTCCACCGCCATCTTTCTTTAACCACGCCTCAAAAACTGTTCTCATTCTGACAGCGTTTGCAAACATCTTTATAATTGTCTCAAGCTGCTGTTAAAATAAGATTACAAGTGCAATGTTGTTTACAAATGCCAATAAAAAGTAATAAAGCCTTGTTAAAAGAGGATTAACACACTTATTATCGGTTGCTTAAGCATTCGCACACATGTTCAATGTGCACTAACAATTAATTTTCTTTATGAGCAATTATGAGTAAGCGCTTTTACAGCTATGAATAAGGTTATTAAGAAAAACAACGATTGAATTACTGGCCCAGTTATGGGACGTCAAAATTGCTGCTCATATTAAACTTTGTTGTGCGAGCGTATCAAAAATTCGGCAAATTAATTTTTTTTAATAAAATTTATTAATTATTAATATTTAATATTAATTATTAATATTTAGTCGAGGGGGGTTTCTTGATTGGGCTGTGTCGATGCATTGGTCTAGAATGAGAATTGAGCCAATTAACTTTTAACACCAAGAAGCTTAATTATATAAATTACTTGTATTCTACAACTGACGGGAATTCGGATTCGATGATTGTGTTATGGCTAGAGTTGCTGGGAATGGCGCTGTCTTGGGGGGTTGAACCCGGGCTGGTTTGCTGATCTTACTGATCTGTGGCTTTCTCTTTGTGCATTTCACCAACATAAATAGGAAAATCTTAATCATCCTGTGTGGCGTGTCAGGTTTTTTACTGTGGACCTGCCTCGTATTGATGGCTCAGATATGACAAAGAGAAGATATACATTTCCCCGAAAGAATGTCGAGAATCTGCTGTGGATAGCCACTTTGGTGGAGACTCGGATACTGTAGGGGGTTTGATCATTTCTCTTGATATTGAAACTAAAAAATCCCTCGAGGTGTGTCGAGAATCTATTATGGCTAAATACCATGGTGGAGGCTTAAACGCCATTGATGGGGTTTTTTTACATCTGTACGATTCGCTCGGGATGTGTTGAGAATCTGCTCTGGCTGAATACCATAGTGGAAACTCTAATATCTTTGAGAGGATTTGTGCAGTTTTGCATTTCTCTCAAGGTGCATCGAGAATCTACAGTGGCTAAATACCATGGTGGAAGCTCGTGTGCCGCTAAGAGAGAATCAGACCACTCTATCCTTAATCTTTATAATCATTTCAGTTTGTGTCGAATGCCGTCTGTGGGTGGCCTCCATGGTGAAAAATCAAGCAACATACCAGGAACTTAAATAGTCAAAACGTTATTGAAGTAGAGTGAATGCACTGGAGTGAGAGTCATTGGTTTGTGGGACTGGCGAACGGTAGGTGTGTTTTCTCTCTTCGTGCTGACGTCAACTTCTGGTGCTTCTTGCCTATGGTGTAGTTATTGAATCTGTTACCCGTCAACTTAAAAAGACTGGAATAAACTATTACAACCTTACCTTTTAAAATATACTTAATTCAAAGATTATCATTTATTTTTCTGGATTGATGTCTTGATATATTTTGATCGGATTCTTCCTTTTCGACTGTGATTGATTTTGAAGATGTAATAATAATAACTACATAATTATGAAAAAAAAAAATATTAAAATACAATAAGAATTAAGAAAAAAAATATTAAAATTACTGGCACATTATAGCACCATTTTGGTAGCTGTAGTGCCTTTAAAATCTTTAACAACAAAAATTTTTTAGGTATAGAAAATATGCTTTCAAAAAAACATTTGTTCAGAACATTTTGTGGCATTCATTCAGCCAAGAATTCAAACTCACCGTAGTGTGATATAAAAGTTAAAATATAAAAGTAGTGTGTCAGACGTAATGTTTTCAAACGTCGTTTAGAACATCATCTCTTCGTCAATTGAATGAATGAATGATTGGATGAATAAATGAATGAATGATTGATTGAATGAATAAAATTTTTCTAAAATTCTCCTCACTTTTACATCCTTACTTCTAAAACTAACTCTTATTATAATAGCCCCTTAATTAAAATGATGAATTTATGGAATAAACTACCTACAACCACTAGATCTATTAGTTCCAAAACTCTTTTTAAATCCAGCATAACATTTTTGGCTAACTACTCTCTCTCTCTCTCTCTCTCTCTCTCTCTCCCTCCTCTATCATTTTTTGTCTAAATGTGTTTTTTATTTCTACAATTTTATCACTTTAGCCAAATTTCAGCTTAATCTATTTGCTAAATCAGTCATTTATATTTTAATTATTTTAAATCTATCTGCACCCATGCACGTGCATATGTATAAATAATTATTTATATGTCCTTTTTTATCTACGTTTTAGACTCCTATGTATGTATTCATTTCATTCTAATCATTTCATTTTCATTATTTCCATTACAGTTATTGCTTCAATTGATTATCTCCCACTTAATTTCATATTTTGTTAACATTGGTTTTCATTTTACCACTTTTCTGTTATACCCTTTCAGTATTTTACTCTTCCTATGGTCAATCTATAATGCGTATTCTACCTATAATACGTATTCCACCACTCTTTTTCTCTCTCTAAGCAAAATTTCTTTGTTAATTTATTTCATTATATTATTTCACTGATACACTTTTCTGTATTCTGTTTTTTTATATGCTATTAATTCTCCATGATCATATGTAAGAGAATGTATATGTATGCATGTTTATTTGGTATATGTTTTTTGTAGTTATGGAGTCTGTACAAGTAGTAATAACTTATGGCCTCTCTGTTCTTTAAATAAATAAATAAACTAATTAATTAATAATTTAATTAATGAATGAATGAGTGAATGAACGAACGAACGAACGAACGAACGAATGAATGAATGAATGAATGAATGATAGTGAGTAAAATTAATGATCACAGGAATTGTCGCATGACTCAATAAATAAATAAAATAAATAAATAAATCAAATTTTGTACACGCACATGAATAAATTTATATATATATATATATTATTTGCAGCATGAATTCGAAAAAAAAAGTTTATTTTGAATTTTAATAAACTAAACGTTCACCAAAAAACTTTAGTGAGAAAAATCGAAAAAACGAACTACAAACATATTAACGCCAAACATTCGGTAGAATTTATAGAATATTGTAAAAATTATGGTCTATTACCAACACACACACACACACACACATATATATATATATATATATATATATATATATATAAATTGTATATATATATGTATATATATTTGTAGTCGACAATCAACGCATATATATATAAATATATATATAAATATCTATATATATATATATATATATATATATATATATATATATATATATATACATATACACATTATGCGCAATTTCTTAATTTTGGAAAAAGGCATTGCCTTATCTATTTTTAATTTAACAAATTGACAAAATTTTATTCACAAACATAAAAGTCATGAGCGCAGGTCACAAAGCACTCAAGCCCTATCAATCCCATCTACATTCTTCCGCGGTGAAAAAACAACCGCCACAAAAATGCAAACTATTCCTCTTTCAATATAAAAGCGAGAGCGTTACCTTTTAAATTTGTTTTAAATGATTTGAATAATTAC